GCTGTGTGTGGTGGTGCATACTTGCAGTCCTAGCTTCTCGGGAGGCTGAGGCAGGAGGATTACTGGAGCCCAGGAGTTTGAGATTATAGTGAGCTATGATGGTGACTGTGCACTTTAGCCTGGGAGACAGAAGAGACCCTGGCTCAAAGAAACAAAAATAAAATGCTACTAGATTCTTACTATTGCAGTAGACAGTGCTTCCAGAAGGCCCAAATTTGTCCTTTGATTAATCACAGTTGATTAGTGAAATTTGTCTTTCTGTTGTCAAAAGTTATGAATTGTTTTGGTTTATTTTTTTTTTAACTCAAAGTAGTCCTCACAGCAGACCCTCTGCATTGGATTAGCGATTGTTAAGTATCAATCCTAATTTGATTTAAACAAAAAAGCTTCTTTTGGGGATTTTTCAGGGAAAGGAAAGTTGTTTTAATTTGAATTCACTTAAATTGGGCTTTCTTGGAAACATATAGAGAACTGTTTGTATTCTGTCACTAAGAAATTTGGAGTGAGTTAAATTTCATTTGGGGAAAAATAGAAAATTGCTAAACCACACTAATTTGTAGGGGGATTTTTTGTTTGTTTTCTCCATAGTGATTAGTGAAATCAGGCGACCTGGATATGAGGCCTCACTCTGCACTTTACTCCTGAGTGATCTTGGGAAGTTGCCCTTTGATGAGTCAGTTTTTCTCATGTACATGTAGGCACTCCCACTCTGGGGACTTCAGTGTCCTCACCCATAAAATGGGAACGATAATACTCTAGTACATCATTATGTAATAAATGTCACTGATAGGAGTGTGTCATGCATACAGTCCTTGTGGAGCCAGAAGAAAGGTTGAAAGCCACTGTTGGTACTCAGCACTAAAAAGTCAGTCACTTGATAAAGGTAATTTTTTTTTTAATTTTTTTATGTACTTAATTATTATTTTTTTTTTTAGAGATGGGGTTTCACCATGTTGGCCAGGCTGGTCTTGAACTCCTGACCTCAGGTGATCCACCCGCCTTGGCCTCCCAAAGTGCTGGGATTACAGGCATGAGCCACCGCACCCAGCCATATGTATTTAATTTTTTAAGGGGTCTTGGTATGTTGCCCGGATGGACTCAAACTCAGAGGCTCAAGTGATCCTCTCCTCAGTGCTCTGAATAGCTGGAATTATAGGCAGGCACCACTGATGAATCTATTTTTCAGTTAGAGTTTGAATTGAGTCTAGTGTAGGAAGGTATCTATAACTGTGTAATATATTGGTTAAAAAAAAAAGTTGCCATGCTAGAGAATTCCTGCTTTGCTTAAATACGTGGAGCTCACTGACAGGCATAAGGCTGTCATTATTCACCTTGTAGCATGTAGGTTGGATCACCTATGGACATGGAAAGACTTGTCATGGAAGGACTTGTCTGAATCTTTTCTAGGTCATTCCAGGAAACCCTTTCAATGACAATGGCCGGTGGCTGATAGAACTAGAAACCCAGGCTGGGCACAGTGGCTCACCCCTGTAATCCCAGCACTTTGGGAGGCTGAGGCGAGGGGATAACTTGAGGTCAGGAATTTGAGACCAGCCTGGCTAGCATGGTAAAACCCCATCTCTATTAAAAATACAAAAATTAGCCCAGTGTGGTGGCACACGACTGTAATCCCAGCTACTCGGAGGCTGAGGCAGGAGAACTGCTTGAACTTGGGAGGTAGAGGTTGCAGTAAGCCAAGATGGTGCCACTGTACTCCAGACAGAGTAAGACTCTGTCTCAAAAAAAAAAAAAAAAAAAAAAAATAGAAACCCCCTCAAAAAGGCAGGACCTCTGGTGACTGGAATTAGTTGAAATTGTTTATTTCTGAATCAACTGTTATTTTCCCTGTTGTTTCTTATAGCTTTCTTTGATAATGCTGTGGGCACTTTGGAGTTGGAATGGTCACAGTAAACCCAGGGGATTCAAGAGAAGAAAGGTTTTTTTTTTTTTTTTCCCCTACCTCTTGTGTTTTTTTTTTATTTTAAATTCCTTCCACCCCACCTGGTGAAAGATGTTCTGCATAATGATTTATGGTTTTCATCAATTTTTAAAGCCTCCTATGTTTTTTTTTTTTTTTTTTTTGACGGAGTTTCGCTCGTGTTACCCAGGCTGGAGTGCAATGGTGCGATCTCGGCTCACCGCAACCTCCGCCTCCTGGGTGCAGGCAATTCTCCTGCCTCAGCCTCCCGAGTAGCTGGGACTACAGGCGCGCGCCACCATGCCCAGCTAATTTTTGTATTTTTAGTAGAGATGGGGTTTCACCATGTTGACCAGGATGGTCTTGATCTCTTGACCTCGTGATCCACCCGTCTGGGCCTCCCAAAGTGCTGGGATTACAGGCGTGAGCCACCGCGCCCGGCCTAAAGCCTCCTATGTTAAATATCTGGCAAAGAAAGACTGCCCTTAGTTTTGAAATCAGAAATGAGAAGATATTCCCTTGGAGGGAATTTATTTGCGTATTTCTTGAAGTGAGTGCAGACACCATTCCCCATGGGAACCACCTAGCCCGTACTGTCCAGTTGTTTGCCGTAAGAGCAAATAGCTCTATTTGTCAGCCAGTTTATAGTGGCATCACCCTGGCAGGAGTTGGGATGCTGAAGACTTTTACGGCCTTATTTCTGATCAAATTCTACTCTGCTACAGGGTTTTTTGGTGTTATAGAACTTTTGGAAGATATTCCCTTTCCTTTCATCATTCCCAGAGCATCTAGAGAAGTATTAAATTACTCCATTATTTACAGAGAGGTTTTGGTCACCCATGTAAGGAGTTCAGAACCAGGCTTTCCCAGTGGGTTAGTGGGTTGCCATGCTGGTTTGATTTTTTTTTTTTTTTTTTTTTTTTTGGGACAGAATCTCACTCTGTCCCCCAGGCTGGAGTGCAGTGGTGTGATGTTGGTTCACTGCAACCTCTGCCTCTTGGGTTCAAGCGATTCTCCTGTCTCAGCCTCCCAAGTAGCTGGGATTACAGGTGTGCACAACCATGCTGGGCTAATTTTTGTATTTTTAGTAGAGATGGGATTTCACCATGTTGGCCAGGCTGGTCTTGAACCCTTGACCTCAAGTGATCCACTCCTTGGCCTCCCAAAGTACTGGGATTACAGGTGTGAGCCACCATGCTCAGCCCATGTTGATTTGATTTTTTAGACTTGCTTGATATACATGGCCTTCCATCTGTGCTAGGGTGGCTACCAGTGAATTCTTTCATGTCCTAATCTTTTTGCTTATATGTATGTATGTGTGTATGTATGTATGAATGAATGAATGGACAGGGTCTCACTCTGTTGCCCAGGCTGGAGTGCAGTGGTACGACCATGGCTCACTTCAGCCTCAGCCTCCCCTGGCTCAGGTGATCCTCCCACCTCAGCCTCCTGAGCAGCTGAGATTATAAGCACATGCTTCCACATGGCTAATTTTTAATTTTCAAATTTTTTCTAGAGAGAGGGTCTCGCCTTGTTGCCCAGGCTGGTCTTGAATCCCTGGGCTCAAGCCATCTTCCTGTCTCAGCCTCCCAAAGTGTTAGGATTACAGGCATAAGCCTGGTCTCCTAAGCTTTTTTTTTTTTTTTTTTTTTGGAGACAGAGTTTCGCTCTTGTTACCCAGGCTGGAGTGCAATGGCGCGATCTCGGCTCACCGCAACCTCCGCCTCCTGGGTTCAGGCAATTCTCCTGCCTCAGCCTCCTGAGTAGCTGGGATTACAGGCACGCACCACCATGCCCAGCTAATTTTTTGTATTTTTAGTAGAGACGGGGTTTCACCATGTTGACCAGGATGGTCTCGATCTCTTGACCTCGTGATCCACCCGCCTCGGCCTCCCAAAGTGCTGGGATTACAGGCTTGAGCCACCGTCCTAAGCTTTTTAATCACCTTGTTTAGAAGCAGATCTTCCATGGATTGATTGGTGAGGTTGGTTACCCTCTTGAACCTTTCTTGTCATCTGTAAGTTGTACTCATGGTGGCCATGTTATTTTGGCTTCCATTTTTCGGGGGAAGGGGGCCAAAAATGGGATTTCCTTAAAATGGCTTTGTGGGAGTAGTTATTGTTCTTTTTGGTTGTTGTTATTGTTCTTGAGTTCTGGTTTTAGTATGATCTGTAAAATGAGGATTACAGAGTACAATAGAGGGACGACTATATAGTTTTTGAGTGTTAAGTGTTTGGTGACATGATCAAATGGCTGTCAGATTCCAGGGATCTGACTATACCAGGTGTTGGTAAACTATGGCCCATAAGTCAGATCTCGTCTACAGCCTGTGTTTGTATTGCCCATAAACTAAGAGTGATTTTTACATTTTTAAGAGGTTATAAAATCAAGAAAATGAGAAGACAAGCTGCAGACTGCAGAAGACATATCTGTTAAAGGACTGTTATCCAGAATATACAAATAGCTCCTAAAACTCAACAATAAAAAAGCAAAAACAACCCAATTAAAAATATGGGCCAGCCAGGTATGATGGCTCACACCTGTAATCCCAGCTAGGCAGCTGAGGTGGGAGGATTGCTTGAGGCCAGGTGTTGGAGACAAGCCTGGGCAATATAGTCAGAACTCATGTCTAAAAAATTTTTTAATTAGCTGGGCATAATGGCATGCACAACTGTAGTCCCGGCTCCTCGAGAGGCTGAGGTGGGAGAATTGCATGAGCCCAGGAGTTCTAGGCTGCAGTGAGCCGTGATTGTGCCACTGTGCTCTAGACTGGGCAATGGAGAGAGACCCAGTCTCTTTAATGAAAAAAAAGGACAGAAGGCCTAAATAGACACCTTACTAGGGAAGATAAACAGATGACAAGTAAGCACATGAAAAGATGTTCAGCATCATAAGTCATTAGGAAATTGCAAATTAAAACAATTGATTTAAACAGGTTTACCAAGCCCTGGACTATATCACAGTAGAACTAGAAGATGAGGTGTTCAGCCTCTCTCAGTTACCATGCCCGGTTCTCTAGTTCTCCTGGGCACTTGTTGTCTCTAATGGTAAAGATGTTCTTATGAATTTGTTTCATTTGCAGGTATATGAATGACCTAAAGCTACAAATAAAGACGGAGAGACAGCAGTGCCAACTGGGAGCAGGGCAAGAATGCCAATTCCTCCTCCCCCACCACCCCCACCTGGTCCTCCTCCACCTCCCACATTTAATCAGGTAGGTAGTCCTTCTATCAGGCTATCTCAAAACCTTTGAGTAAATAGGTCGATGGTCCTCACATACTGTTGTTTTTTTAACCCCTTTTGATTAAAATGTCTAGATTTTCCTATCCATAGCATTCCTAGTCTTTAATTCTGTTTTTAACATTCCAGATTTTTATTCCTGGTCTTAAAGGACACATAGGGCGTCCTTATACAAGACATAGCGTATAATCAATGACATGGTGTAGGAAGGTGGAGAATAAACAAGTCCATCTTTATCAGCTGGTTCTGATTCCTGAAAGGTCCTCTTAGGACCATGATCGTGTGTCTGGTTTCCTTGTCCCAGTTTATTCTAAATGGAGATTTGGACAGGTGGCATTGGAGTAAGAGCTAATGTTTTCCCTTAAATCTATTTGCTGTATAAAAGTGAGTATGTTGTTTCTTTGGCATTTTTGAGAAAAGGGCTGAGGATTCTTAGTGGTTGTTTCTTGCTACCACTTCATCTCTTCTATTCAAAATCAGTTCCTTTTAAAGCCAAGTCCATTAGCTCTAATACCTTACCACGAAGGAAAGGAGTTTTGACAATGATTTGGTTAGAAGACTGAAAGATTCAGTAATAGGAAAAAAAAAAAAGCAATGTGATTTTTAAACCAAGCAGGCACTGCACTCCAGCCTTGACAACAGAGCAAGACTCTATCTCAAAAATAAAAATAAAGCAGAACTTATCTGGGGATATAGGGGGTAGAAAGAGGAGGCAGTCAATAAAGGCTTCTAGGTAGGTGGTGATACCTGGATTGCAATACCTGGTGTCACATGAGAAAGAAGGAACCTGAGGCAGGGCACAGTGGCTCATGCCTATAATCCCAGCACTTTGGGAGGCGGAGGCAGGCGGATTGCCCGAGGTCAGAAGTTTGCGACCAGCCTGACCAACATGGTGAAACCTTGGCTCTACCAAAAATATAAAAATTAGCTGGATGTGGTGGCAGGCACCTGTTATCCCAGCTACTCAGGAGGCTGAGGCATGAGAAACGAACCTGGGAGGCAGAGTTTTCAGTGAGACCAGATTGTGCCATTGCACTGCAGCCTGGGTGACAAAGCGAGACTCTGTCTCAAAAAAAAAAAAAAAAAAAAAAGAAAGTGCATATGGACCTGTATGCACTCTTATTTTTGTAAAAGTAACTTCAGAGAATAGGATATGGAGGTGTGTTTGTGTTTATATATATTATATGTATATGTTAAGTGTTTAACAGTTAAGAAATTGTACCCTGAAGAGGAAAAGTGATAAACTGGTTTGAGAACTAGCTAATTTGAGAACTAGGACTAGAGTTCAGATCTGCCTACTTCTGTTTGTTTTCATAACCTGTAGTTTTTAGACATTTTGTTTTAAGTATATGTATGACCCCTCTTTCAGAGGAAGTTTTGTGTGGAAGCCCAATAAATGAAGTAGATAAAAGCAGAGCTTGGTGGGACACGGTGGCTCACACCTGTAATCCCAGCACTTTGGGAGGCTGAGGCGGGTGGATCACTTGAGGTCAGGAGTTGGAGAGCAGCGTGGCACACATGGTGAAACTCCATCTCTATTAAAAATACAAAAATTAGCTGGGCATGTGGTTGGGCGCCAGTAATCCCAACTGCTTGGGAGGCTGAGGCAGGAAAATCGCTTGACCCCAGAGGTGGAAGTTGCAGTGAGCCGAGATCATGACACTGCACTCCAGCCTTGGCAATAGAGCAAGACTCTGTCTCAAAAATAAAAATAAAGCATAACTTGTCTGGTTATAGCGGGGGTAGAAAGAGGAGGCAGTCAATGAAGGCTTCTAGCTAGGTGGTGATACTGAGCTGAGTCTTAAACCTTGAGTAGAGTTTAGCCAAAAAGAGAGGAGGGAGCTAGGGCACTTGAAGCAGAGGAACCAGAGCGTGGAAAGGTACTGATTTGGAATTAATTTTTTTTTTTTTTTTTTTTTTTTTTTTTTTTTGAGACAGAGTTTCGCTCGTTACCCAGGCTGGAGTGCAATGGCGCGATCTCGGCTCACCGCAACCTCCGCCTCCTGGGTTCAAGCAATTCTCCTGCCTCAGCCTCCTGAGTAGCTGGGATTACAGGCACACGCCACCATGCCCAGCTAATGTTTTGTATTTTTAGTAGAGACGGGGTTTCACCATGTTGACCAGGATGGTCTGGATCTCTTGACCTCGTGATCCACCCGCCTCGGCCTCCCAAAGTGGTGGGATTACAAGCGTGAGCCACCGCGCCCGGCCCGCTGGAATTAATTAATGAATGAATGAGACAGAGTTTCACTCTGTTACCCAGGCTGGAGTGCAATGGTTGTGATTATAATTCACTGCAACCTCTAATTCCTGGGCTCAAGTGATCCGCTTGCGTCAGCCTCCCAAGTAGTGGGGACTACATGGCCATGACACTGCACATAGTTAATTAAAAAGAATTTTTTTTTTTTTTAAATAAAGGCAGAGTCTCACTTTGTTGCCTAGGCTGGTCTTGAACTCCTGGCTTCAAGTGATCCTCTTGTCTGAGCCTCCGAAAGTGCTGGGATTACAGATGTGAGCCACTGTGCCAGCCTTGTGCTGATTTGTAAGAAAGCATATAGAGGTTTAGATTATTGCTTGAGGGGTTGTGGTAGCAGATGCAGCTGGAGATGTAGGCTGAGATGTAGGTTTAGATTTTTCTTCTGGTGATCATGAGGAGTTGTTGAAATATTTTCAGCAGCAAAAGTAACCTGTTTGTGCACTTTTCAAATACAAATACAGTTGGGGAGATTAGGGGTTGGGGTTGAGCCTGGAGACAGAAGCCTGTTGCCATTGAAAGTTTAGGTCTGGCTGCCCATGGTGGCTCATGCCTGTAATCCCAGCACTTTGGGAGGCCAGGGCGGGCGGATCACGAGGTCAGGAGATCAAGGCCAGCCTGACCAACATGGTGAAACCCCGTATCTACTAAAAATACAAAAATTAGCTAGGCCTGGTGGCACATGCCTGTAATCCCAGCTACTCAGGAGGCTGAGGCAGGAGCATCGCTTCAACCTGGGAGGCGGAGATTGCAGTGAGCCGAGATTGTGCTGCTGCACTCCAGCCTGGGAGACAGAGCAAGACTCTCAAAAAAAATAAAATAAAATGTGGGTCTAAGGCGGGGCACAATAGCCCTTTCCTGTAATCCCAGACTTTGGCAGGCCGAGGAGGGTGGATCACCTGAGGTTGGGAGTTCAAGACCAGCCTGGCCAATATGGTGAAACCCTGTCTCTACAAAAATACAAAAAAAGTTAGCCAGGCATGATGGCGGGTGCCTGTATCCCAGCTACTCTGGAGGCTGAGGCAGGAGAATCACTTGAACCCAGGAGGTGGAGGTTGCAGTGAGCGGAGATCGAGCTATTCCACTTCAGCCTGGGCAACAGAGCAAGACTCCCATCTCAAAAAAAAGAGTTTAGGTCTAGACTAAAGCACTGAGCATGGACAATGGAGTCAAGATATTTAGAAAGTGAAATATTTCTCTTTTTTTTTTCTATTTTTAATTTTTTGTTTTTTGTAATGCTCAGTGTATGATATGAAATCTTTCTTTTTTTTTTTCTTTTGAGACAGAGTCTCACTCTGTCACCCAGGCTGGAGTACAGTGGCATGATTGTGGCTTGCTGTAGCCTCCACCTCCTGGGTTCAAGTGATTGTCATGCCTCAGCCACTCGAGTGGCTGGGACCAGGTTTGCACCACCATCCCCAGCCAACTTTTGTATTTTTAGTAGAGACAGGTTTCACCAAGTTGGCCAGGCTAGTCTCGAATCCCTGACCTCAGGTGATCTACCTGCCTCGGTGTTCCAGAGTACTGGGATTACAGGCATGAGCCACCACACCAAGTCGTACGTATTGTTTTTTTAAAATGTTTTACTTGACGAGGCCAGGTGCAGTGGCCACACTTTGGGAAGCCAAGGCAGGTGGATCACTTGAGGTCAGGAGTTCGAGACCAGCCTGACTAACATGGCGAAACCCTGCCTTTACTAAAAATACAAAAGAAATTAGCCGTGTGTGGTGGCACACACCTGTAGTCACAGCTGCTTGGGAGGCTGAGGGACAAGAATCTCTTGAACCTGGGAGGCAGAGGTTGCGTAAGTTGAGATCACACCACTGCACTCTAGCCTGGGCAAGAGAGGGAGACTCTGTCTCAAAAAAAAAAAAAAAAAAGTTTTACTTGATTGTGTCAAAAACATTATTGCTGTAAAAAGATACAAAGATACTGACTTTTAAATATTTGAGAGCTTCATTGGCATCCCCTTGTATGCTTATATTATCATTGTTCCTTTTGATTTAACTTTTAGATTATTTTCAGTTTTATGCTATTAGAAATAGTTTTTTGCCATTATTAGCGTCATTGCACACAGTAGGTTTTTTTTTAAGGCTTCTTTTTTTTTCTGAGAAGTAGTTTTGCTCTTATAGCCCAGGCTGGAGTGCAATGGCATTAGCTCACTCCAGCCTTTACCTCCTGAGTTAAAGCGACTCTCCTATCTCAGCCTCCTGAGTAGCTAGGACTACAGGCGTGGGCCACTATGCCTGGCTAATTTTATTTATATTTTTAATAGAGATGGGGTTTCACTATGTTGGCAAGGCTGGTCTCAAACTCCTGACTTCGGGTGATCTGCCTGCCTCATCCTCCCAAAATGCAGGGATTACAGGCGTGAGCCAATGTGCCTGGCCTGGACTTTTTTTTTTTTTTAAGTGTTATTTTTTTGAGACGGAGTCTCACTCTGTCGCCAAGGCTGGAGTGCAGTGGTGTGATCTCGGCTCACTGCAACCTCCACCTCCTGGGTTCAGGTGATTCACCTGCCTCAGCCTCCTGAGTAGCTGGGACTACGGGCACGTGCCACAATGCCCGGCTAATTTTTTGTATTCATTAGTTCGTTCATTTATTTTTTCCAGACAGAGTCTTGCTCTGTTACCAGGCTGGAGTGCAGTTGCGCAATCTCAGCGCACTGTAACCTCTGCCTCCTGGGTTCAAGCGATTCTCCTGCTTCAGCTTCCTGAGTAGCTGGGACTACAGGCTTGTGCCACCATGCCCGGCTAATTTTTGTATTTTTAGTAGAGACGGGGTTTCACCATGTTGGCCAGGATGGTCTTGATCTTTTGACGTTGTGATCCGCCCACCTCGGCCTCCCAAAGTGGTGGGATTACAGGTGTGAGCCACTGTGCCTGGCCCTTTTTTTATTTTTGAGATGGAATCTCGCTCTGTCGCCCAGGCTGGAGTGCAATGGCACAATCTCGGCTCATTGCAACCTCTACTTTCTGGGTTCAAGCAGTTCTCTACCTCAGCCTCCCGAGTAGCTGGAATTACAAGTGCCCACCACCATGCCCAGCTAATTTTTTGTATTTTTAGTAGAGATGGAGTTTTGCCATCTTGGCTAGGCTGGTCTTCAACTCCTGACCTTGTGATCCACCTACCTCGGCCTTCCAAAGTGCTGGGATTACAGACATATGCCACCATGCCTGGCCTTTTCTATTTTTAGTAGAGATGGGGTTTCACCATGTTGGCCAGATGGTCTCGATCTCTTGACCTCATGATCTGCCTGCCTTGGCTTCCCAAAATGCTGAGATTACAGTGGCATGAGCCACTGTGTCCGGCCCCGGCCTGAACATTTTTAAGGCTTTTGATACATATTGTTAAATTGCTTTCTAGAAAGAGTATACCAATTTATCTTCTCCTAGGTAGTATAAAAGTGCCCTTTTCCCTGATTCTTTATAACTACCATAGAGTAGTTATTCATCTCATGCATTTTTTGAGCTTCCTCAGTGTGCCAGAGACTCTACAGCAGAGAGCAGTGGTCTCTGCCTTCATGAACCCCGCTATCAAGAAGTTTTTACAGTCTTTAGTTAAAAAAAAATTTTTTTTTTGAGATGGAGTTTTGCTCTTGTTACCCAGGCTGGAGTGGAATGGCGCGATCTCGGCTCACCGCAACCTCTGCCTCCTGGGTTCAAGCAATTCTTCCGCCTTAGCCTCCCGAGTAGCTGGGACTACAGGCGTGCACCATCATGCCCAGCTAATTTTTGTATTTTTAGTAGAGACGGAGTTTTACCATGTTGACCAGGATGGTCTTGATCTCTTGACCTTGTGATCCAACCGCCTCAGCCTCCCAAAGTGCTGGGATTATAGGTGTGAGCTACCGGCATTTTTTTTTGAAGTGGAGTCTTACTCTGTCACCCAGGCTGGAGTGCAGTGGCACGATATTGGCTCACTGCAACCTCTGACTCCTGGGTTCAAGTGATTCTCCTGTATCAGCCTCCCAAGTAGCTGGGATTACAGGCATGTGCCACCATGCCTGGCTAATTTTTTGTATTTTTAGTAGAGACGGGGTTTGCCAGGCTGGTCTTGAACTCCTGACCTCAAATGAGCTGTCTTCCTTGGCCTCCCAAAGAGCTGGGATTAGAGGCGTGAGTCACCATACCCGGCAGATAAAGGAAACTATTTAGGGTGAATTTACATCGCTCTTATCTTCCAGGCAAACACAGAGCAGCCCAAGCTGAGTAGAGATGAGCAGCGGGGTCGAGGTGCCCTCTTACAGGACATTTGCAAAGGGACCAAGCTGAAGAAGGTGACCAATATTAATGATCGGAGTGCTCCCATCCTCGAGAGTGAGTCTGAGCTTCATTTCCTAGTAGGATCCCAGGAGTGACTTGGAGACTTGGCTGGGTTGTTATGTTTTGGGAGGGCTTTAGTGGGAGAATTTTGTCCTGAAATGTGCTTTCACTCTCTTCTCATTCATTCTTGACCCTTGGAGACCATTCAGCCTTGACCCTTGGAGAGCATTCTCAGGATAAAGTTTACCATCTTACCAGACATGGTGGCTTATGCCTGTAAGCCCAGCACTTTGGGAGGCCAAAGTGGAAAGATCACGTGAGCCCAGGAGTTTGAGGCTGCAGTGATCACGTCACTGGGCCACTGCCCTCCAGCCTGGGCAACAGAGCAAGACCTGGTCTCTCTGAAAGAAAAAAAAAAATAAAAAAAAAGAAGGCTGCCATCTCTTACTGTAACTAATGCTCATCAGGGCACATCCTTGACTGTCCTCTGAGGACACTGCCACATTCCTAGAAACCTCTGAACTGAAACCAAGGTTGGTTTTATGATGGCTACAAGTATCCATTCCTGTAGGCCTCTGGAGAGTGCTCACATATTGGTCCCTGATCCCTTAGCCTTCTATCTTTAATCTGAGATGTGGAGAGGAGAACCCAGATAACTATGCTGAACATTTCTTTCTTTTTTTAAATACTGAGTTTCGCTCTTGTTGCCCAGGCCGGAGTGCAGTGGCATGATCTTAGCTTACTGTAACCTCTGCCTCCTGGGTTCAAGCAATTCTTATGCCTCAGCCTCCCAAGTGACTGGAATTGCGTGCCACCACACCTGGCTAATTTTTTGTATTTTTATTAGAGATGGGGTTTCACCATGTTGGTGAGGCTGGTCTTGAACTCCTGACTTCAGGTGATTCACCTGCCTTGGCCTCCCAAAGTGCTGAGATTACAGGCATGAGCCACTGCACCTGGCCCCTAAACATTTATTTAACCCACTTATCCCTTTGCCCTAAATAAAGGAAGATTGAACACTTGTTTCTTTTGTTCTTTCTCTTTCATCACAACAAAGAGTTTCATCTCTATACAAAGCTGTGGAGCAGAGAGGCTGAGCTTTTTTTTTCTTTTCTTTCTTTTTTTTTTTTTTTTTTTGAGACAGGGTCTCACTCTGCTTGTTGCTCAGGCTGGAATGCGGTGGTACGATCACAGCTCACTGCAGCCTCAACCTCCCAGGCTCAATTTATTCTCCCATCTCAGCCTCCTGAGTAGCTGAGACTATATAGGTATTCATCACCATGCCTCGGTAATTCTTGAAATTTTTTGTAGAGACAGGGTCTTACTATATTGCCCAGGCTGCTCTTAAACTCCTGAGCTTAAGTGATCCTCCCATCTTGGCATCCCAAAATGCTGGGATTATAAGCATGAGCCCCTGTGCCAGGCCTGCTTTTTTAAATAGAAGGGCAAAAGCAAGACTGGTTTGTTTGCAACCAGTAGCCCAGATAGAGGAGGGATTTCCCCTCATGATTGACTTGGTCACCAGCTCAGAGCATATGAAATGAAAACTCTACTGGTATGCTTTCCAGAGCCCAAAGGAAGCAGTGGTGGCTATGGCTCTGGAGCAGCTGCCCTGCAGCCCAAGGGAGGTCTCTTCCAAGGAGGAGTGCCAAAGCTTCGACCTGTGGGAGCCAAGGACAGTTCAGGTATCTGATGAGTACTTTCGCGGGATATGTCCCTGGTGTGTTAATTTCTGAATTGTCCCAGGTGGGCCATCTCAGGTTGAGGAGTGTGGTAGAGGTGGGGGGGTGAGGGGAGAAAGACTTGGGAGCAAGGGAGGAGTTATAGAGTAGAATACAGCAAAATCTGAGGGATTAAATGAAAGTGTATTCAATTTAGATAAAGAAAATGTGGTATATATACACTAGAATATTATTCAGCCTTAAAAAAGAAGGAAACTTCTGCCATTTCTGATAATACGGATGAACTTGGAGGACAGCATGCTAAGTGAAATAAGCCAGGCACAAAAAGACAAATACTACATGATCTCATTTATATGTGGGATCTGAAACAGTTGAATTCATTCACAGAAGTAGAAAGTGAAATGTTGGTTACTAGAGGCTGGGCAGTAGGAGTTGGGGTGGGGAAAGGGGAGATGTTGGTCAAAGGTTACAAAATTTCAGTTAGACAGGAGGGGTAAGTTTTAGTGATCCAATGCAGTAGTCCCCAGTCTTTTGGCACCAGGGACTGGTTTCATGGGAGACATTTTTTCCACGGATAGTGGGTGGGGGATGGTTTTTGGATGAAACCGTTCCACCTCAGATTGTCAGGCATTAGATTCTCGTAAGGGCCAAACAATGTAGATCCCTCACATGCGCCGTTTACAGTAGGATTTACCCTCCTATGAGAATCGAATCCACCTGCTGGTCTGACAGGAGGCGGAGCTCAGGCAGTAATACTTCTTGCTTACCTCCTGATGCGTGCTTGGTTCTTGAAAAGGTCGCTGACCTGTACCGGTGCACGGCCCCAGGGCTTGGCGACCCTGGTCTGTTGCACAGCTTGGTGACTATACTTAATGTATATTTCAGAATTGCTAAAAGAGTAGATTTTATTTTATTTCTTCCTTTTTTTTTTTCTGAGACGGAGTCTTGCTCTGTTTGCCAGGCTGGAGTACAGTGGTATGATCTCAGCTCACTGCAACTTCTGCCTCCCGGGTTCAAGCCATTCTCCTGCCTCAGCCTCCTGAGTAGCTGGGATTACAGGTGCAGGCTATCACGTCCGGCTAATTTTGTATTTTTATAGAGAAGGGGTTTCTCCATGTTGGCCAGGCTGGTCTCAAACTCCTGACCTCAAATGATCCGCCTGCCTCAGCCTCCCAGAGTGCTGGGATTTCAGGCATGAGCCACCGCACCTGGCATAGAGTAGATTTTAAGTGCTTTCACCATAAAAAAACAAATAGGTGATGGATATGTTAATTATTTAATTTTGATTTAATCATTCCACAATGTATACATGTAACAAGCCATTGTACCCCATAAATACATACAATTATTACTTGGCAAAAATAAAGTAAAAATTTAAAATAAATAACAATGTATGCTGGGCCTGAAACCATGTTAAAACCCAGAACTATGTAAGTCCTTTCCCTGCTGCCATGCAGGTTGCACGGAGGAGCTGGATAAGGTAGGGATACTGACCAGTACCTTTCTAGCTCTGTTGACCTTGTGTTGTCTGTGTATTTGTAGAGAATCTAGCTGGTAAGCCAGCCCTGCAGGTCCCCAGTTCTCGAGCTGCTGCCCCAAAGCCTCCAGTGTCTGCAGCCAGCGGGCGTCCTCAGGATGATACGGACAGCAGCCGGGCCTCACTCCCAGAACTGCCCCGGATGCAGAGACCCTCTTTACCGGACCTCTCTCGGCCCAATACCACCAGCAGTACGGGCATGAAGCACAGCTCCTCTGCCCCTCCCCCACCACCGCCAGGACGGCGTGCCAATGCACCCCCCACACCTCTGCCTATGCACAGCAACAAAGCCCCTGCCTACAACAGAGAGAAACCCTTGCCACCGACACCTGGACAAAGGCTTCACCCTGGTCGAGAGGGACCTCCTGCTCCACCCTCAGTCAAACCACCTCCTTCCCCTGTGAATATCAGAACAGGACCAAGTGGCCAGACTCTGGCTCCTCCTCCTCCGCCTTACCGCCAGCCTCCTGGGGTCCCTAATGGACCCTCTAGCCCCACTAATGAGTCAGCCCCTGAGCTGCCACAGAGACACAATTCTTTGCATAGGAAGACAGCAGGGCCTGTCAGAGGCCTAGCGCCTCCTCCACCCACCTCAGCCTCCCCCGCTTTACTGAGTAATAGGCCACCTCCCCCAGCCCGAGACCCTCCCAGTCGGGGAGCAGGTAAGTGCTTGGAAGCACCTTTTTCCCTATCATGCTGTGAATTTATTTTATCTTTCCCCAGAGCACTCCTAGGAGACAGTGATTGATTTATTCATTCAACTGATTTTTTATGTGTCAGTTTTGTTGATAGGGAAACAGTAATAAATAGAAAAGACAATTCCTGTTTTGGACAGTCAAACTAGTAAAATATATAAATACATAGTATATAGTATGCTTTAGAGAATTATAAAGCAGAGGGGAGGAATAAGATATACTGGGTGGGAGGTTGGATGATGATATCTTAAATTGGAGGAGTGGGGAGAGAGTCAGGACAGTCCTTACTGATGTGGTGAAAATTTGACAAAGTAAGAAAGCGTAGTACATAAGATTGATTGCCAAAAAGAAAAAGAAAATAAAGAAAATTTGACAAAGATCTGAAGAAAGTGATGAGTAAACTTAGTAGTTATCTAGGAGAACAGCTGTTGCAGGCAGTGGGAACAACAAATGCAAAGGCTCTAAGGCAGAAGTATTCTTGAAACCTTTTGGGGACAGCAAGGGGACCACTGTGACAAGACTCGAGAGAGGGCGGGGAGGGAAGAGTGGTAGGATGTGGAGGTTGGGAAGCTGGAGCTGCAGGGGAGAACACTGGAGGACTTTGCAGAGACCTTGGATTTAGCTGTGTGTGAGATGGAAAGCAACTGGAGGGTTTTAAACAGAGAAGTAGTATGATTTGATTCACCCTTTAAAAAGATCACTAGCTCCTGTGTTGAGAACAGACTGTACGAGGACAAAGGTGGCAAAAGGAGACCAGTTACTGTGCTGTTGCAATAAATGGCCAGATGGTTAGGACTGCCGCAATTCTGTGGGAAGATAGGTGTTCAGCTTGGGACAAGGCTGAGATACCTGCTAGGTACTCAAGAGATAATTAAGTGGTAATTGGCTATCAGACTCCAAAGTTGGGGGGAGAGATCTTGGCTCGAGAGATATATTTGAATGGTATCAAAGACCACATTCTGGATGAAGTCACCTAAGGAGTGAGTATAGATAAGAAGAGGCCTAGGAGGCTGAGGCAGGAGAATTGCTTGGGCTGAGGCCTCACCTTCCTACATTAGAGGCAAGAGAGATGAAGAATGCCTAATAGAGGAAATAGAAAACTTGTAGTGAGGATGGAAGGAGAAAAACCAAGAGTGTGATGGAAAAACTCCAAGGTAGAGTAAGTGGTCCACTGTGTCCAGTGCTGCAGATGGGTCGGGTAAGTGGAAGACCGAGAACTGGCATTGGTGTTAGCATCATGGGACCCTTTTGAGTAGTTGCAGTGGAGTGATGAAGAGTAAAAGTGAAAGCTTAATTGGAGTGGGTTCAAGAATGCAGGGCTAGGAGGAAAGGAATTGGAGATAGCAATATAGAAATCTCTTAAGGAGTTTGCTGTAAAGTCCAGGAGAGAGGGCTGAAGATAAGTGGAGTGATGTTGGAGGAAGATGTTGGGTTGAAAGCTGTTTTTTTTTCCCATCCCAAGATGGGAGACCTGTTTGTATGCTGATGGAATTCGTAGCATGAAACTTAGTAGAGAGGGAAAAAATTGAATCAGGAGAGAGAGAACAAATTGCCTTAATTGTGACCTTGAGGCCGGAGGAGAGGGAATGTGATCCATAGGTAAGGGGTTGGCCTTAGACAGGAACATAGTTCTTCCATAGTTACAGGAGGAGAGGCAGAGTATAGGCTTAGAAGCAAGTGGTTAGGTGGGTGTAGTGGTAGAAGCATGTGGAAAGTTTCTTCTAATTTGCTTCTGTTTTCTTAGTAAAATGGAAAGCAAGAGCATCAGCTGTGATTGAGGCGAGGGAAGGAGGAGAGTTGAGGAGAGAGAAGAGGCTTGAAATGGTCATCTGGAGCGTGGGAGAGTGGGTGGACGAGGGAAGTGTGCTCAGATAGGCAACCACGTGAAGGGCCCACTTGAGACTATGGGCCATACATTTCACATGAGATTAATTAGTGTCATGTGTGTTCAGCTGTAATTTTCAGGTACAAAATAAGAGTAGAGCTGTATTTAACCAGTGTTAGCATTTTTTAGGCATGTGCGACTATAAGGGAGAGTGGGGCAGGAAGTGAAGGGTGTATGTGAGGGAGTGATTGCAATAATGGAGCCTAAGCTGGCTGAGGAGGGAATTTAGGAACCCTGGAAAAAGTAGAAGAGGTTGTGTAATCTCCTTATAAAATAGCATAGCTGAAATTTCAGAGCGAGGGAGACCATGACAGCTCTCTGGGGCCTTATTGGACCTAGGAATTTTGGCTCCCATATCCTTAGATCATTAGACTTTGAGCCACACCCTCCACAAACAGCTTCTTAGCTTTTATTTATTTACTTGTTTGTGTTTTGAGACAGAGTCTTGCTCTGTCACCTAGGCTGGAAGGCAGTGGTGCAATCACTGCTCACTGCAACCTCTGCCTCCCAGGTTCAAGCAATTCTCGTGTCTTAGCCTCCTGAGTAGCTGGAATTACAAGCACGTACCACCATACCCTGCTAATTTTTGTATTTTTAGTAGATAATGAGGTTTTACCATATTAGCCGGGCTAGTCTCAAACTCCGGACCTCAAGTGAGCCACCATGCCCAGCCCTTAGCTTTTATTCTAAAGTCAGTTTCTACAGGTATAGAACGAACAAGAAATTATTTCGTGGAGTCCAGGCATGGTGGCTCATGCCTGTAATCCCAGCACTTTGGGAGGCTGAGGCAGGTGGATCGCTTAAGTCCAGAAATTTGAGACCAGCCTGGGCAACGTGGGAAAACCCTCTCTCTACAAAAATATAATTAAAAAAAAAATTAGCCTGGCATAGTAGTGCATGCCTGTAGTCCTAGCTACTCAAGAGGCTGAGGTGGGAAGATCACTTGAACCTGGGAGGTGGAGGTTGCAGTAAGCCATGATGGTGCCACTGCACTTCAGCCTGGGCAACAGAGCAAGACTGTGTCTCAAAAAAAAAAAAAAAAAAAAAAAAAAGGTTATATCATCAAGTAGCAGGTATTAAAAGCCCGTCAGCCTGTGTGCAGCTGCTTGGTTAGGTACATACAGATTTGTACTCTGGCAGCTGGCCATCTAACATAGGGGAGCCAAACAGTGGCCTGCTGCATTCCTGATCCCATATCTCTGTAGCTTTAGCCATAAGGAGGTAGTTCTAAGGTGGCCCTTGATTCTATAAAGTTCAGGTTTGACAGTTTTTTTTTAACTTAGGGATATTACAAAAAACCCTTTGTCTGAGCAAAGCTCATATCTTTCTGACCTCATCCAGGAATAGAAGAAGAGAAAAAATGCAATTTCCATGGGTTGAGCTGAGTACTTTTAAATGTCTGCAGGCTTTCTTGCTTCCCATTTCTCCGTTCTTCCTCCGTGGTAGCTAAGACTGCAGGGGCGTGCCACCATGTCTAGCTCATTAAAAAAAAAAAATTTTTTTTTTTTTTTCTGGACAAAGTCTCACTCTGTCACCCAGGCTGGAGTACAGTGGCGCAATCTCAGCTCACTGCAACCTCCACCTCCCGGGTTTAGGCAGTTCTCTGCCTCACCCTCCCGAGTAGCTGGGATTACAGGCATGTGCCACCCTGCCTGGCTAATTTTTGGTATTTTTAGTAGAGACAGGGTTTCTCCATCTTGGCCAGGCTAGTCTTGAACTCCTGACCTGTGATCTGCCTACCTCAGCTTCCCAAAGTGCTGGAATTGCAGGCATGAGCCACCATGCGCAGCCCCCCAATTATTTTTTTAAAAAATGAGGTCTCACTGTGTTGCCCAGGCTGGACTCAAACTCTTGGGCTCAAGCCATCCTCCTACCTTGGCCTCCCAAAGCCCTGGGATTACAGGTGTGAGCAGTTGTACCCAGCTAGAGCAGCAATTCTTAAGAGTGATAAACCAGGGCCGGGCGCGGTGGCTCAAGCCTGTAATCCCAGCACTTTGGGAGGCCGAGGCGGGTGGATCACGAGGTCAAGAGATCGAGACCATCCTGGTCAACATGGTGAAACCCCGTCTCTACTAAAACTACAAAAAATTAGCTGGGCATGGTGGCGCGTGCCTGTAGTCCCAGCTACTCAGGAGGCTGAGGCAGGAGAATTGCTTGAACCCAGGAGGCGGAGGTTGCGGTGAGCCGAGATCGCGCCATTGCACTCCAGCCTGGGTAACAAGAGCGAAACTCCGTCTCAAAAAAAAAAAAAAAAACAAAAAAAAAACCAAACAAAAAAAAAGAGTGATAAACCAGAAAAAAAATGAGATATTTTCGTCACTGATCTCTTGAGCATTGCCTCGATTTGTTGTGTGACATTGGACAGATCATTGATTCTTTTTCTCATCTGTAAAATACACATTTGAAAAGTACAGTGGGGGTAAAGCACCGTGGCTCACACCTGTAATCCCAGTGCTTTGGGAGGCCGAGGCAGGAGGATCACTTGAGACTGGGAGTTCAAGACCAGCATGAGCAATATGGCGAAACCTTATTTTTACAAAAAATAAAAAAACTAGGCTGGGCACGGTGGCTCACTCCTGTAATCCTAGCACTTTGGGAGGCTGAGGTGGGCGGATCACCTGAGGTCAGGAGTTCAAGACCAACCTGGCCAACATGATGAAACCCCATCTCTACTAAAACACAAACATTAGCCAGGCATTGATGGTGGGTGCCTGTAATCCCAGCTACTGGGGAGGCTGAGACAGGAGAATTCCTTGAACCTGGGAGATAGTGGTTGCAGGGAGCCAAGATCACACAACTGCACTCCAGCCTGGGTGGCTGAGTGAGACTCTATCAGTGAATCAATCAGTCAATCAAGCCAGGCATGACAGCGTGTGCCTGTGGTCCTAGCTACTTGGGAGGCTGGGATGGGAGGATCACTTGAGCCCAGGAGGCAGAGGCTGCAGAGAGCTGAGATCATGCACTCCAGCCTAGGCAGCAGAGCAAGACCCTTCCTCAAAAAAACAAACAAACAGGCCGGGCGCGGTGGCTCAAGCCTGTAATCCCAGCACTTTGGGAGGCCGAGGCGGGTGGATCACGAGGTCAAGAGATCGAGACCATCCTGGTCAACATGGTGAAACCCCGTCTCTACTAAAAATACAAAAAATTAGCTGGGCATGGTGGTGCGTGCCTGTAATCCCAGCTACTCAGGAGGCTGAGGCAGGAGAATTGCCTGAACCCAGGAGGCGGAGGTTGCGGTGAGCCGAGATCGCGCCATTGCACTCCAGCCTGGGTAAGAAGAGCGAAACTCCGTCTCAAAAAAACAAACAAACAAACAAACAAACAAAAAAACCGCCCAAAACTAGCTTTATTGATTAATATAGTTTGTTTCAATAATTTTTTTCTTTGCAGAGTAAAACTTTTTTTTTGAGACGGAGTTTCACTCATGTTACCCAGGCTGGAGTGCAATGGCGCGATCTCGGCTCACCGCAACCTCCGCCTCCTGGGTTCAGGCAATTCTCCTGCCTCAGCCTTCTGAGTAGCTGGGGTTACAGGCACACACCACCATGCCCAACTAATTTTTTGTATTTTTAGTAGAGACGGGGTTTCACCATGTTGACCAGGATGGTCTGGATCTCTTGACCTCGTGATCCACCCGCCTCGGCTTCCCAAAGTGCTGGGATTGCAGGCGTGAGCCACCGTGCCCGGCCCAAATTTTCATCTTTTAAAAGTGAATTTAATTTTTGGAAATGACCAAAAAGTAGATTCAGACATAGGTATGAATATTTTCATTGGTGATGGTGGCGGGGCGACCTCAGAAATGAAATGTGACCATCATATAATAGTGTTTATAGCTCTGTCTGATAAACTTGATTTGGAGGCAGTTCCAAAAGAGGTGTTTGCAATGTTTGAGCAATGAGACTGTTACTGGACATATGTAACTTCCCACGATGAATCTGCTGTACATACTTTGAAAATAGCTCGTTGATATTAGAATAAGTGACATAGCCTATATATGCTGTGGGAGAGCAGAGGTGGAGGGACTCAGAAGAAAGTGGATTGCTTTGGGAAAGTCTTGAGACGATGGGACTTGGATTGAACCTTGAGGATAGGTAGGATTTGGTAGAGGGGAATCACAAGAGCAAAGCATATAATTTGGTTTATTCAGCAAACATTGATTGAGCACCTGCTGTGTGCTGTAAATTTGGCTGAACTTGGGAACCCAGAAGGAGGAACTGCTCTGACGTCGAGTATACAGTATACTGGGGAAAAAGCACATAGAATAAATAATTATCACAGTCTATTAAAGGGGTACATACACACGCTGCAATGGAAGTGCAATAGAGGGTACCTAACCCAGCCTAGCAATAAGGAGGAAAGAGGAGGAGGCAAGCTCAGGCTGATGGGCATGGTAGAGTATTATGTAAGCAAGGCTTTGAGACTTTATTTATTTGCTTATTTATTTATTGGAGATGCAGTCTCGCTCTGTTGCCCAGGCTGGAGTGCAGTGGCACAATCTGGGCTCACTGCAACTTCCACTTCCCGGGTTCAAGTCATTCTTGTGCCTCAGCCTCCTGAGTAGCTGGGACTACAGGTATGCGCCATCACGCCAGGCTAATTTTTTGTATTTTTAGTAGAGACGGGGTTTCACCATGTTGGCCAGGCTGGTCTCAAACTCCTCAGCTCAGGCAGCCCTCCCTCCTTGGCGTTCCAAAGTGCTAGGATTATAGACATGAGCCATCATGGCCAGCCAGTGTTTGAGACTTTATGATTTAGGCAGTGCAAAACCTTTGAAAAGGCTGGGCGTAGTGGCTCACGCATGTAATCCAAGCACTTTGGAGGCTAAAGCGGGCGGATCACCTGAGGTCGGGAGCCCAGCCTGACCAACATGGTGAAACCCCGTCTTTAAAAAAAAAAAAAAAAAAAAAAAAAAACCTTTGAAAAAACTTGATTAAGTTTTTAGGGAGATTAGTGATTCGGTATTATGCAAAATGAATTTGGAGGGGTAAGAGATGAAGCAAAGAGAACATTCAGAAGGTTTTTGCAGTAGAACAGGCTAAATTTAAGAAAGACCTGAATTAGAATTGTGGAGGAAGGCATGGAAAAGCAGGAAAAAAAATCAAGAACAAATAGTGTTGTTGACTGACTGGTAAGAAATGTAAAAAGGCCATACATTTACTCTGAATGTTGGTATCTGGAAGAATAGTGATGTATTCAAGTAATAAGGATGAGGGGGAACCAGGCACTGTGAGTCTCGGTGGGGCATGTTACTCTTTTAGCTCATGTGTTTCAAGTCGTTCTACAGACCCTTGCCATCTCCACATCCAAAACTAACTACTTTGGATTTTAATTGCAGCTCCACCACCCCCACCACCTGTGATCCGAAATGGTGCCAGGGATGCTCCCCCTCCCCCACCACCATACCGAATGCATGGGTCAGAACCCCCGAGCCGAGGAAAGCCCCCACCTCCACCCTCAAGGACGCCAGCTGGGCCACCCCCTCCTCCTCCGCCACCCCTGAGGAATGGCCACAGAGATTCTATCACCACTGTCCGGTCTTTCTTGGGTGAGTAGCTAGCTAGCTGTAGTCTCATGGTTCCTGCAGTGACTTCACTCACTCCAGTGCCATGGCTGCTAGATGGCCACCATAGAGCAGGAATGGCCACATGGGTTCCTTTGTTCACAACAGTGCTCCTCCTGACTTTATCTGCAGACGTATGGGCTGTATTCATTGACTTCTTATCTTTATGTGAATTCTGAGCATGGATGCTTTGGAACAGATTGAAGTAAAATCAGCAAGTGTTGTGCTAACTCTAAAACCACTCCAAAGATCAGTTTTTGTGACTAGCTTTTAGGTCAGAGATTCTGTATCTTGAAGATTATTCAGACAGGACTTATGTATCCTTCTAGGAAGGAGAGTTCCTTTCTGGCTCTTCAAAAACAAAACACTTGATTGTTCTTGGGATTCTTTTTTTTTTTTTTAAATGATTTTTTGTAGAGACTAGATCTCACCCTGTTGCCCAGGCTGCTGTCAAACTCCTGGGCTCAAGCAGTCCTTCAACCTTGGCCAAAGTGCTGGGATTACCCATGTGAACTATCACACCCAGCGTCTCCTTGGAATTCTTGAAAAAAATATTAAAAAGTCCCATGGTACATTGCCTGGAAAGAAGAAAGAAGAACAAAAAATATTAAAGAAAAAAGGATCGGGTGCAGTTGGGCCGGGCGCGGTGGCTCAAGCCTGTAATCCCAGCACTTTGGGAGGCCGAGGCGGGTGGATCACGAGGTCAAGAGATCGAGACCATCCTGGTCAACATGGTGAAACCCTGTCTCTACTAAAACTACGAAAAATTAGCTGGGCATGGTGGCATGTGCCTGTAATCCCAGCTACTCAGGAGGCTGAGGCAGGAGAATTGCCTATACCCAGGAGGCGGAGGTTGCGGTGAGCCGAGATCGTGCCATTGCACTCCAGCCTGGGTAACAAGAGCGAAACTCCGTCTCAAAAAAAAAGAAAAATGGATCGGGTGCAGTGGCTCATGCCTGTAATCCCAGCACTTTGGGAGGCCAAGGTCGGAGGATTGCTTTGAGCCCAGGAACTCAAGACCAGCCTGGGCAACATGGTGAAACTTCATCTCTCTAAAAAATACAAAAATTAGCTGGATATGGTGGCACATGCCTGTGGTCCCAGCCACTGCACCCCAGCCTGGGCAACAGAGCAAAACTCTGTTTCAAAAAAAAAAAACAAAAAAAAAACTCGCTGGGTGCGGTGGCTTATACTTGTAATCCCGGCACTTTTGGAGGCCAAGGTGGGCAGATCACTTGAGGTCAGGAGTTCAAGACCAGCCTGCCCAACATAGTAAAACCCCATCTTTGCTAAAAGTATAAAAAAATTGTCTGGGCATAGTGGCACACATCTGTAATCCCAGCTACTTGGGAGGCTGAGGCAGGAGAATCGCTTGAACCTGGAGGTGGAGGTTGTAGTGAGACAAGATCGTACCACTGCACTCCAGCCTGGGCGACAGAGCAAGATTCCATCTCAAAAAAAAAAAATCAAAAGCAAAACCCAAAACGTTACACAACATTAATCAAAAGCCACTAACTATTTTGAGGGCGTCATGTTACTTCTCTGGGCCTCACTTCCCTTATTTGTAAAATGAGGTTGACTAGATCAGAAGTGTATCAGATTAACTTTCCAAGATTATAAATGTTGGGGGCCTTACCTAAGAGATTCTGATTCCTTAGTTCTGGGATGTAACCGTAAGTAAAGGTTGTCCAGAGGCTACTGTTAGACCCCTCTGTTGAGGACCTCTGGAAGAAATCTCTGAAAGGTCCCTTGCAGCCTTGACACTCTAGATTTTTTTTTTTTAATTTTAAAGACAGGGTTTCACCATGTTGGCCAGGCTGTTCTTGAACTCCTGACCTCAGGTGATCCACCTGCCTTGGCCTCCCAAAGTGCTGAGATTACAGGCGTGAGCCACCACACCTGGCCTAGATTTTTTTTTGAGACAGCATCTTGCGTTGTCGTCCAGAGTATAGTGTAGTAGTGCACAGCTCACTTCAGCCTCGACCTCCCAAGCTCAACAGATCCTCCCACCTCTCCCTTCCAAGTATCTGGGACCACAGGTGTGTGCCACCATGCCTGGCTATTTTTTTTTTTTTTTTTTGAGAGATGAGGTTTCACTATGTTGCCCAGGCTGGTCTCGAACTCCTGGGCTCAAGCTACTCGCCCACCTCAACCTCCCAAAGTGCTGGGCTTATAGGCGTGAGCCACCATGCCCAGCCTCTAGATTCTTTAATGGTTGCTGTCCTTACCTACCCCATCCTTCATGTTCCAGTCTATTCCTTTTAGGTAGACCAGGGTTTTCGATTTAAAGATATATCCTTATTGTAGAAACCTTTGGGATGTGATCAAGACACATTTACAGAAAATTCGAGCCTTCTTATGGAGAGGCCATAGAAAGTAGGAGTAAAAGCCATGAGATGGCTGTCCCAGGTGTAAAAGTGAAGGTAACATGGGCTGACAGGGAATTATCTGGTCAAATCTCTCACTAGCTGGAGATTAATATTCCCATTTTAAATTAATTTCTACCAATTTCTGGATTTAGTTCAGTTGTTTTCCCATGGTGACAGCCCCTGAGTTGTTATTAAAACAGAATCGTATTTCTTCCTGCTGCCATGCAGACAGCTGGGCTCCTCTTCTGTTCTGTCCCTGATTTGGTGGAAAGGTTTAAAGATTCAGCTCAGGCCAGGCATGGTGGCTCACACCTGTAATCCCAGCACTTTGGGAGGTCAGGTGGGCAGACTGCCTGAAGTCAGGACTTTTGAGACCAGCCTGGCCAAGATGGCGAAACCGTGTCTCTACTAAAAATACAAAAAACTAGCCAGGTGAGGTGGTGGGCACCACTGCACTCCAGCCTGGGTGACAGAGACTCCATCTCTTTAAAAGAGAATGAGCTCAAAGATGCACTACTTAGTACAGAGAAGTTTCGAATATGTGCTCTGTGCATGCAAGGCACACGGGGTGCTGCTGCTGCTGTTCCAGGGTTGTTGGTTTGGTGGTGTGGTAGGTCCTCACAGTACCTCAAAATGCCTGAGAGATTAGTAAGTGGAGAGGGTTGAAGTGGTCAGAGGCCTGTGGGGGCACAAGCAAGGATGATAGGAATTCATACTCTATTCTTTTCGCAGATGATTTTGAGTCAAAGTATTCCTTCCATCCGGTGGAAGACTTTCCTGCTCCAGAAGAATATAAACACTTTCAGAGGATATATCCCAGCAAAACAAACCGAGGTGAGAAGAGTAGTAAAAAGGTTTTTCCATAATTGCATAGAAGGTAGAATTTGTGTGTTTTCTTAAGTTAAAGTTTGCTTCTTGCCAGGTGCAGGGGCTCGTGCCTGTAATCCCAGCACTTGGGGAGGCCGACGCGGGTGGATCATGAGGTCAGGAGTTCAAGACCAGCCTGACCAACATGGTGAAATCCCATCTCTACTAAAAATACAAAAATTAGCCAGGCATGATGCATGCCTGTAATCCCAGCTACTCAGGAGGCTGAGGCAGGAGAACTACTTGAACCTGGGAGGCAGAGGGTGCAGTGAGCCGAGATCACACCACTGCACTCCAGCCTGGGTGACAGAGCAAGACTCTGTCTCAAAAAAAAAAAAAAAAATTGCTTCTTATCATCTTCATTGTCGGCTCACTCCAGCCTCTGCCTCCCAGGATCAAGTGTTTCTCCTGCCTAAGCCTCCCGAGTAGCTAGGATTACAGGTGTGTGCCACCATGCCCTGCTAATTTTTGTAATTTTAGTAGAGACTGGGTTTTGCCTTGTTGGCCAGGCTGGTCTGAAACTCCTGACCTCAGGTGATCCGCCCACCTCCCAAAGTGCTGGGATTACAGGCATGAGCCACCATGCCCTGGCCTCTCATCTTCATTTTCTTAAGCAAAACAATAAAACCTAACCCTGATTTTAAAGGTTAGCTTAAAGAACCTGTCTCTCGGCCAGGCGTGGTGGCTCACACCTGTAATCCAAGCACTTTGGAGGCCAAGGCGGGCAGATCACCTGAGGTTGGGAGTTCAAGACCAGCCTGACCAACATGGTGAAACCCTGTCTTTAAAAAAGAAAAAAAAAAGAACATGTCTCTCATTTTAGGAATGTGTGGGTTGTTCAGAGTCTGGTGGGTGACCTGTATGTGTGTGGTTTTTATTTATTTATTTTTTTCAGCTGCTCGTGGAGCCCCACCTCTGCCACCTATTCTCAGGTGAAGCCTGGCTTGGTTCTGTTCCTCAGGAAAAGGATGGACCTTCTCTTCTCAGATGGTCCCTTCCATTCCCCTGAAACCTGCATGAGAGCTCCTAACATGTTTTTCCAGTGCAACCAACCCCTAGACTCCAAGCGTCCTCCCAGCTCACCTCCATCTATGCATCTCGTCTCTGGATTTGGTGATCGGACTCTTTATATTGACAATAGCATCTCAAACCCTGCATCCATCCTTCCTCCAGCAAGCCCTGCTAGCCACGAGGAGCAAGTTTCTATGTCTCCTGCTTTTCTCTTGGGGAAAGGTGCCTTGTTGTGATGAATTAACTCGTTGGGGCAGGGTGGAGAATGGTACCCCTTCCTTCTCCTGTCCACTGTGGGGGACGCTGGGCAGGTATATTATATTTCATCATTTAGGAGGCTGGCATAACCAGGACTTATGGGTGGGAGGGGAGCATTTTTAGCAAAGCAAGAAAGGAGTTTGCCGAGAAGTGATCTGTTTTAAAGGTCAAATTTGGAGAAAGGGCAAGGAAATGGGTCTGCTTTATTTTTAGAAGTATTTTGTTTTTGTTTCCACCTGCCGTCCCCTGCCTCCCCGCCCCCCCCGCAGGGATGAGTTGGGTATAAACACTAAATACTAATCAGTTGAACTTAACATTTAATAAAAAGAGAGGGTGAAATAAACTGAGGACCATTTTAGAACTAGTCACTTCTCTGCAGCAAAGGGACCAGGAGCCATTTGAACCCTCTGGGACCCTGCCGCCCCACTGCCTCAGGATGCTTGGCTGAGGGATGTTTTTCCTCCCGCTTACCACCCATGCCCTCAAAAGAAAAGTCACATTTTGTGGAGGGCATCATTCATTCCTGATTCACAAACCCCAAAAACCTCTGGTAGGAGATAGGAAGATAGGGCGTGAGCCTGGGCTTTACCTCAGTCTTAAGTCTGCTTCAGTCTTTTGACTGGCCCTGAAGTGGTTGGTGACCCTTTCTGTCCTTCAGCCCCTGGAAGGTGCTCTAGGATAACAAATAAGGGCAGGTTGGATCCCCTTATGGAAGGAGGTGGCTTTGTGGGGATGCAAAGGACTTTAAGTCCTGCCGGTACTGTTCACAGCCCACCTGACTGAGCAGACTCTTCCTGTTCCTTTCTCTACCACCCTTGCCTTCCCAGGACTGCACAGCAGAGTAGAGAAGGGTGAGGAAGTAAGCAGAGGCTTTTGAGGATATTCAGTATTCCTCTATGCCAGGAAGCACAGACTTTGTTGAGGTTTGCCTCGGTTCAGTAGATCTTCCCTGGCAGCCAGCCATAGGTTGTTTCTTTGTCTTCCAGGTCCTAGTTAAAGAGCACAGAGAAAGTGGAGGTCCCCAGTCTAGGTGGGAATTAGACTACCTAGACTAATTGGATGATTGGACGAGGACTTCTTTTTATCCAACAATAGGATAGGACTCCTGGGCTCAAAACACCAGATGCTTTGGTTCGCTAGAACTGTTGCTACATGTAAGGCTGCTTAGAGCGTGGCATGAGAACAAGGAGACCATGGCTACTCTTTGAAATGGATGGGGAAAATTAACAACTTAATCACACACATCACAGGCTTAAACTGTCTTAGGGACCTTTCCAGTTGACAGGATCACAAGCTAGGGATCTGTGCATGGTGCCAGGTGGAATCTAAGTCTTCCCAGCACTAGGTGAGGGAGGGCTCAACGGGGGTAATGTGTATGGGGTCTGCTGTCCTTTACCATCCCCTGGACCACATTAACTCTGGGACAAACCATTTTTAGGTCTGTCACCAAACTTTTCCTAATCATTCTTTATGTATCATTCTTTCTAATCTGTTAGCAGTTATCTCCCAGAAGTATCCCTAGCATCCTGAAGTAAACAGAACTGCCAGGTGTGGTGGCTCACGCCTGTAATCTCAGCACTTTGGGAGGCCAAGGCGGGCAGATCACCTGAGGTCAGAAGTTCGAGACCAGCCTGTCCAACATGGCGAAACCCCATCTCTACTAAAAATACAAAAATCAGCTGGGTGTGGTGGTGTGCACCTGTAGTCCCAGCTACTGGGGAGGCTGAGGCATGAGAATTGCTTGAACCTAGGTGGCGGAGGTTGCAGTGAGTGGAGATGGCGCCACTGCATTCCAGCCTGGGTGACAGAGTGAAACTCCATCTCAAAAAACAAATTTAAAAACACTAATAGAACTGAGAGAGGGGATGCTAATAGAGGGAAAAGAAAGTGCAAGAGTTGATACTGTGTAGAGTTCCAGGGCAGATACTGACAAGTGACTGAACTTTGACTGTGAAGTCTTCCCATTTATTTTTGAAATGGGAGTCAATGCCTTTTGTACAATATTATCAGAGTGTGTCTTTTTTTTTTTCCTCCTTTTATTCAGACATAGAGCATCACAATATCACGAGTAAAGCCAAACCCCAGCTTTTCACTGGGGTTGATATCGTCCTCCCCATGACCTGCTGCCCCTCATATTCCCCAGTACTTGGACTGTCACATGGGTATTGATTGTATACTTGTCTTGGCCTCCTGCAAAAAGGCCTGGGTCTAGATCTAGTCAGATGGATTTTCTTTTTCAGAGCATGTTGATGACACAACACCTGTTTAAATGTCTTTGCCTTATACATTATTTGGTCCCACTGTTAATAATAGATTTATTACCATGTATATTTACTATTGAAGATGGGAATGTGATCTGCATAGTTATTGGTCTATTTTGTACGTTGTAAAAAGCTTCTAGGTTTAAGGTGGGCTGGCTACAAGAGCATAAAACTCCTCACCTGTTAAACTGCTCTTTTTATCTGCTTGTGGGAATGTTGTCTCTTCTGTGGAAGATTGGGTGGTCTCATGTTGAGGCTGTTGCCCAGTCCAATTAACTCCCTTGTCCCCTTCCAGAAGGAAGAGACATTGCCCAACTAAGCATTAGGAAGCTGTGTTAAAAGCCCTTGTATGGGTTTAGTTTAGTGATGTTTTCCCTAATGGGTAAAACTTTATAGTTGTTTCTTAACTGCCCTGACTGGGAAGCAGGGCGGTGGCCTCCAGGTTTTTAAATGAGCTAGATGCCTCTCTTCCCCTTCTCTGGTCACCGAACCTGGACCAAAGCACTTTGATATTCCAGGTGTGATTTTCTCTGTCGTGGGGATTTGCTCCAGCTGCAGAGCCCCATCATTTTCACAGCCTAGGCCAGCAGAGTGAGAACCTAGGGCTACCCTATTTGATGGATATGCGGCCGCTGTCTCCAGGAGCTCATCCCAGCCCTCCTAACTGGCAGCGGCAAGGAGACTCGTCACCAGCCATTGCACTGGGGAACTCCCTCACCGCATGGCTTCCCAACTTGAAACCCAGATTTACCTCCAGGGAGAGGTTACAAAATAATTGTAAATAGACTTGCTACAGAGCAACTCAGGGTTGGGGTGTGTTTTAATTCTCCTGATCACTTGAAATAATCTGTAGGCCGAGTGCTTATGGGAGTGGGGGAGAAGTGCGACTCCAGGGTCCTTCCCTTCTGTGAAGCTCTGGGGGGGTGGAGTGTGGGCATCTGAGGCCCTACGATGGCACTACACTGAGTTGTCTGTCCTTCCGGAAACCCAACCTGCAATCAACTGCAAATCAAATTCTTCACATTCCAGTTACAGTCTTTCTTTCCCCATTGAATCTCAGTCCCTGGCCCTGTGGTCGAGGCGGCTTTCTGTTAAGCTACCTGAATTTAGGGAATGGGAGGGGAGAAAGGAGGGCCATTACAACTCTGCCTTCAAGACTCATCTCTTAAAATGAAACAAAACTACAACCACCATCAAAACCACACGCACGAAAAAAAAAAAAAGGATAACTTTAACCGAAGGAAGGGTTTGGTTCCATTCAACTCCACATTCATTGTGCCTTTACTTGTGTTAGATTTCTGTGCTTTCTTTGTCTCCCTCTTTGAAGCAATTAAACTCGTCCTTGACAATTGCTGTTTCTTTCTACTCTTGTATCTGGCAACTTAGTGGGTTCCTTCTCTAATTGTCTTAAATATTATTCCACTGGTGGCAAGTGGGGACTAGCCGCCTTTTCTTGTGTCTAATCTTTGTCCTTTCTCATGGTGCCCTGCATGGAAGTCACAGTCAACACTGAATAAACGACTAGACTGACACGTGTGCGTGCGTGTGTGTGTGTGTGTGTTCATCTGTCTGCATGTGGATCTATTTCTTTTAAAAAATAATTTATTGTATGATTTTTTTGGAGTTATATTCTGATTACAGTGCTCCCTCTCCCAAATAGCATTGATTTCTTTTCCCCCTCTAAAATGTGTAAAATCTGGGCTCAGGTTGGATTCTTTAGTACATTTCTTTCTTCTGGATCCCGTGTAGTTTAATTAAACCTTGCTTAAAAACAAAAAGTGAAAATTGTGTACTCTTGTCTGGAATACTGCCTCAAGTGGTGGCACAGAGAGGGGAGAAAACCTTTGCTTCATAATTTGGGTAATTGCAGTGGTTTGATTCCAGGTCTCTTAAAAAAGTAGATCTGCTGACTTGGGAAGACTCATCTACAGCTTCCTGGGGGTCTTCTCTCCTCCTTTCCTGCTGTATTTTGAAAATTACAGTTCTAGTTGGCCATGCTTGATGGCTGACCCCTGTAATCCCAGCACTTTGGGAGGCCAAGGCAGGTGGATCACTTGAGGTCAGGAGTTTGAGACGAGCCTGGCCAACATGGTGAATCTCCATCTCTACTAAAAATACAAAAATTAGCCGGCGTTGTGCTACCCAGAAAGCTGAGGTGGTAGAATCGCTTGAACCCAGGAGGTGGAGGTTGCAGTGAACTGAGATCATGCCACTGCACTCCAAAAAAAAAAAAAAGAAAATTACAGTCCTAGTTACTTTTGCTGACCAGGATATTCTGATGGTCCTTATTTTATTAATTTATTTTTATTTTTATTAGAGACAGGATCTTGTTCTGTTGCTCAGGCGGGAGTGCAGTGGTGTGATCACAGCTCACTGCAGTCTCCAACTCCCAAGCTCAAGTGATCCTCCCACCTGTCTCCCACGTAGCTGGGACCACAGGTGTGTACCACTATGCCTGGCTAATTTTGAAAATTTTTTTGTAAAGATGGAGTCTCCCTATGTTGCTGAGACTGGTCTCAAACTCCTGGGTTCAAGTGATTGTCCCACCTCGGCTTCTCAAAGTGCTGGGATTACAGGCATGTGCTATTGCATGGGCCAGTCCTTATTTTGTATTTCCACTTAACTCCCATGATTTCAGGGAAACAAGGCAGCTTCCTGGCCTTGTGACCTTTTCCTTGAAGCTCTTAGAATTCTTTCTTTCTACCTGTGTTGCATGGCAGATTCTCAAACTGAGTAAAGGAAGGAAGGGTGAGGACAAAGCATACAGAATGTATGTATTAGTTTTTATGTGGGTGTTGACTGTTTTTCCTTATTGCTTTTTAAGCTGAATCTTGGCTGGTTTTCTTGAACTTTGACTTTAGGTATAAAAATTCGACCAGACATTCTCTCCTTACTCTGGTCAGCTGACATCATAACCACTAAGGCTTAATGAGCTTAACTTGCACTTTCATCACTAGCAAAGGTCATAATGGGTGTGTGTATGAATCACTCTCACATAATTTAGATATAAAAACTTATGAGGATGAGGGAGGGGGGAAATAAAGGACTCCTTTCATTTTTATCCGTACTTCCCAGATTGGCTGAATCCCTGATTATTTGACCCATCATTGTTATTAATATGATTAATAAATTACCTATTTATTGATTGAATTGTTCCTCCTGACTTGAAATAGCCTGCAAATGGAGCTTGCCTAAATGACCTTCAACTTCCTAACCCTATAATTCATTCTGTCTTATTGGGATGGTATTGCTAGAGTATGTGTGTGTCTACACACACACACACTCACACAAAAGGATGCCAGACAGGTTCTTCCAGTGTGATTTGATTCCTTCTCCATGATACTGTGTATGAGTTAGCAGTATCATACTAGTTTCCTCCCTCCATTACCAAGGCAGAGCTGCTTCCTATGAATGTGCCTCTTAAGTATTTCCCAACCCAATCTAACCATGAACTGAGCAACTCACTGGAAGGAAGCTGCCTGTCTCCACCTTCCTAGTACTCTGCAGAGGGAGGTAAAGGAACTGTGAAAAATGAACTAGAACTAGAAATATGTCAACCTCAGGATTCTGACTGCCTCAGAGGATAATTGGGGAAATGCTTTGCCTCTGACATCACTGGAGCGCAGTCTGGATCATTTTCACACATAATTGACTTCATTCTTTACTCCTAGGCTTAGGAGTGTGAGACTTAAAGGACTGTATGCTCTCTAGCCACAAGTGTTTATGCAAAGGGTGGATGTCCACTTGGCAAGAATGTCCTTTCCATTCCTTCATTTAGCAAGCACTTATTGGACACTTTGTACCAGGCACCTACAATATGAAAATGAAAAGTCTTTTTTTTTGCCAGGCAGAGTGGCTCATGCCTATAATCCCAGCACTTTGGGAGGCTGAGGCAGGTGGATCACCTGAGGTTAGGAGTTTGAGACCAGTCTGACCAATATGGTGAAACCCCATCTCTACTAAAAATATGAAAATTAGGTGTGGTGGCAGGCGCCTGTAATCCCAGCTACTCGGAAGGCTAAGGCAGGAGGGTTGCTTGAATCTGGGAGGTGGAGGTTGCAGTGGCCTGATAGTGTGCCACTGCACTGCAGCCTGGGCAACAGAGCAAGACTCTGTATAAAAAAATTTTTTTTTTCCTTTTGGAGATGGGGTCTTGATATGTTGTCCAAGGCTGGCCTCAAACTGGGTTCAAGGGATCCTTCCACCTCAGCCTCCTGAGTAACTGGAATTACAGATGCATGTCACTTCACATGGCTAAGACATGGTCTTTGATTCCAAGGAACTCAATAGTTAGTAGACTTCAGGACAGCTACCAGGAGAAACCTATACAGGGTATTAACAGGCTTTATAGAAGTTAGCAGGGAAGACGGATGGGGAGTGGCATTCCAGAGGAAACAGCAAAAACAAAGGCACAGAAGCAAGAAACAATATGATGTGTATGTATCATGTTACTGGAGGATCATTATTAGTGCAAAGGAAAAGGTTCAAGTAGATAACCTTTCAGTCCTGACATTCTGTGATTATTTGCCTGTTTCCACAGTGGTCATTTACTTCTGTGGGCTTTTCTTGGGCTACTGCTGTATTTCCTGGTGTTTTCATAGGCTCTAATATGCACGCTAAGTACTTATAGCTTCCTCTGCTGTCTCCTTGTAACTGAGGTAGGTTGTTTACTATAACCATTCCTTAAAGCTGGCTGGACATACTTTACCCTTTCAGGTTATTAAGGGCAATTCTTAGATGCTCATGTTATAAAAATATGAACAGTGATGGTTGCTTCCTAAGTTCTGCTGTCCTATTAAGAGATCAGAAATACCATCTAGTCCTTTTAAAAGCTTCCATTTTGGCCAGGTACAGTGGCTCATGCCTGTAATCTCAGCACTGTGGGAGGCTGGGGTGGGGGTGGGGGGCAGATCATGAGGTCAGGAGTTCGAGACTAGACTGGCCAACATGGTGAAACCCCGTCTCTACTAAAAATACAAAAATTAGCCAGGTGTGGTGGTGCATGCCTGTAGTCCCAGCTACTCAGGAGGTTTGAATCCAGGAGGTGGAGGTTGCAGTGAGCTGAGATTGTGCCACTGCACTCCAGCCTGGGCGACAGAGTGGAGACTACGTCTCAAGAACAAAACAAAACCAAAAAAAAATAGGCTTCCATTGTAACTCTCCATTCATGGAAACCCATTCTCTTCACTTTTGGAGTTTTCAGCTGCTAAAAAGCCTTCACAAAATATACTCCACCATCTCTTCCTGTTTAGAGCCCTTTATCTAATCATCCCCCTATGATAAAGGGCCAAGAGTTTGATTTTCTGTCAGAGTTCAGAGTTCAAATTCTAGCTCTTCCACTTACTAGTTGTGTGACCTTGGGCAAGTTTACTCAACTTTCCTCTACTGTGGTTCCTTCATTTGTTAAATGAAATAACACCAACTTCGACCGGGCACAGTGGCTCATGCCTGTAATCCCAGCACTTTGAGAGACCAAGGCGGGTGGATCACGAGGTCAGGAGTTCAAGACCAGCCTGGTCAAGATGGTGAAACGCCGTCTCTACTAGAAATGCAAAAAGAATTAGCCAGTCATGGTGGTGTGCACCTGTAATCCCAGCTACTTGGGGGGCTGAGGCAGAAAATCGCTTAAACCCGGGAGGCGGAGGTTGTAGTGAGCTGAGCAGAGCAGAGATCAAGCCCTTGCACTCCAGCTTGGGTGACAGAGCGAGAGCCTCTCTCTCTCTTTCTCTCTCTTCCCCCCCTCCCTCCCCCCCTCTCTTTTCTCTCTCTCTCTCCTCTCTCTCTCTCTCTCTCACACACACACACAAAATAACACCAACTCAACTTCATGGGGGTGCCTGTGAAAATTAAGAAGGCAATGTAGGTAAAATACTGAGCACATTCTCTGGCATACACTTAAGGCCCTCAATACTGGCTCTCTTCATGAACTAGGTACCAATTAACTGATGATCGTAATATTGTTGCTTTCCTCTTTCTAGGCTTTATGGCTCTGTTTTATTTGTTACTGAGAGGTAAAAGAGAAATGTTTACCATGACCTACAATTGGGTTCTGGCCTTTAAAGGAACCTGAGGGTTAGATGAGTTACTGGCTTTGGAAGCTGGCCTCCAAATTACTGCTCTAATTTATATTTTTCATTAAAAACTCAGCCTGCCTCTTCTATATAGCCGTTTTCCCTGGCTCTGAAACCCTAGTGTTTCGCCATAAAAGATTTTAACATTAAGGGGTCATAATTCTCTCCCCACGAGGTGTGGATTAATGGTAAGAAGGTGTATAGAACATAATCTAACTTTGAACGAAATAAAAGCAAAGAGTTGGCTCTGTTTCTCACCTTTGAAGTACAAATCAAGAGACACTATGATGAAGCATAGTTTTTCTTTATATAGCTGTGTAGAACTTTACCAAAAAAACCACTAGTTCAGGTATCAGGAGATCTAGATCCTAGGCTCTTCACTGTCACCAAGATGCTGTGACCTCTAACCTTGTATGCAGGTTTGCTTTGTGCCTTCCGGGGTTTAGGTAACTAAAGTGCCTAGCATCATACCTGGTGCACAGAACCGCTCCCCAAACGGTAGCTATCATCCATCAGGACGATGCAAATGGGTACGTTCGGCAGTGAGAAGGGGAGCCACATCTTGACACTTTCAGTGAAAGGAAGAACGCGGAAGTAGAGTCACGCGACAGTAAAGACTACGCCTCCCGCCGTGCTTTGCGGCGGGGCCGTCCTGTCTTACCCAGAGTCGCCCTGCAGCAATCACGCGTCTTTCCACTGAGGCCCCGGATGTAGATTCTCTTTCCCTCCCTACGCGGCTCAGTGGGCGTGGCCTCACTGTGACTCAAAGACTTGGGGCTCTCTCATTGGCTGTAACTCTTCCGCAGGATTGGAAGCAAAAAAGAGGCGGTACCCAAGGCGAACAGCGCTGTGAACACAGCCAATCAGAATCGAGACCGGGCTTTGGCGGGAGGCTGGAACGCTGTGGTAATTCAGATTTGGCGCGAGCGCGGCTGGTTTTGCTGCTGCTGGTGTTCAGTTTGTTTGGAGCTTGTGGTGGTGAGTCCCAGAGGCTGCGTGTGAGACCTGAGAAGGAGCCTGCACTGAGGAGGTGGAAAGGAGAGGATTGCTCGAGGAGGCCTGCGATCTGTGAGGCAGCGGAGTTGGGTGAAGGCTGCGGGTTCCGGCGAGGCCCGAGGTGAAGTGAGGGGAAAAGAGCTGAGCTCGCTGGAGGTCTGAGGTCGGGATCAGGAAAAGGGCAGGCGCCCTCGGGGTAGTTCCAGCAGTTGTGCGTGGTGTGAAGGAGCTGAAAGTTGTGGGAAGGAAATGTTCTGGGGTGCGTTGAGAGCTGCTTAGAATGAGGACTGGGTGCAGGGGTGGAGAGACTGAGAGAAGACTGACCTGCAGTGTGAGGGCTTGGGAGAGATGAGATTAAATGTGGCTGCTGCTGGGCTGAACTGGTGATAAAACGCCCGTCATGCCTGGAGGAAGGGAATTAGAAGTTCTATACAAATCAGTTAAAGTAACTTTTTTTTTTTTTTTTTTTTTTGAGACGGAGTCTCTCTTGTCGCCCAGGCTGTAGTGCAATGGCGCGATATCGGCTCACTGCAAATTCCACCTCCCGGGTTCAAGTGATTCTCTTGCCTCAGCCTCCCGAGTAGCTGTGATTACAGGCACCCGCCACCAGACCCAGCTACTTTTTGTATTATTTTAGTAGAGACGGGGTTTCATCATGTTGGCCAGGCTGGTCTCGAACTCCTGACCTCGTGATCCGCCCGCCTCGGCCTCCCAAATTACTGAGATCACAGGCGTGAGCCACCGGGCCCGGCGCATTTCAGGTATCTTCTTATTGCATTTATCAATTGGTTAAAAACTTGGGCTCTGGTGCCAGAATGCCTGGGGTTACATTCCTGTTTTTCTGTGACTTTGGGCCACTGTTTATCTCAGTTTTCGCATCTGTAAAATAAAGGCTAATACTAGTACCTACCTCTAAGGCAGTTGTAAAACAAAACGAGTTGGCACATAAAGTGCTTATAACGGCGCCTTCCACCTAGTAGGTAGACAACAAATGTCAGCTGTTCTTGCATAGATTTGGATGTGAAGCAGAACTGAATGCCAAAATATTGTGGTAACATAATTTACTTAGGAAATAAGTGTTAATCACCAGTATAAATAAATTCCATGTTAGTTATTTTCCCTTCACTTTTACAAATTGACTTGTCCTGTTATTTTTTGTATAGCTGTGCTGCCATCATGCCTCAAACCCGATCCCAGGCACAGGCTACAATCAGTTTTCCAAAAAAGAAGCTGTCTCGGGCATTGAACAAAACTAAAAACTCTAGTGATGCCAAACTAGAACTGACAAATGTCCAAACTGTACCCCGTTCTCGTGTAAAAGTCCTGCCTCTCAGCCCCAGGAAACGTCTGGGTAAGCCATCCGTTATATCACTTTTTGACCTTTCTTTTCTCAATAAGATGTGTGTCCTTTGAAGGAGCTTTCTAAGTTCAGTTAAGACTTTTTTTTTCCCTCAAGAGAGAGTCTTGTGTTGTCTCCCAGACTGGAGTGCAATGGCGTGATCTCAGCTCACTGCAACCTCCGCCTCCTAAGTTAAAGCAATTCTTCTGCCTCAGCCTCCCAAGTAGCAGGGGTTATAGGCACCCACCACCATGCCCAGCTAATTTTTATTTTATTTTTTTGTATTTTTAGTAGAGACAGGCTTTTGCCATGTTAGCCAGCCTGGTCTCTGAACTCCTAACCTCAGGTGATCCATCTGCCTTGAGCCATCATACCCAGCCTTTTTTTTTTTTTGACAAAGTCTCGCTCTTTTGCCGAGGCTGGCATGCAGTGGCACCATCTCAGCTCACTACAACCTCCAGTTCCCGGGTTCAAGCCATCCTCTCGCCTCAGCCTCCTGAGTAGATGGACTACAGGTGCACACCACCACACCTGGCTATTTTTTGTATTTTTGGTAGAGATGGGGTTTCACCACGTTGGCCAGGCTGGTCTTGAACTCCTGACCTCAAGCGATCTGCCCGCCTTGGCCTCCCAAAGTGCTGGGATTACAGGCGTGAGTCACCGCACCTGGCCTAAGACTACTCTTCATTTTAGTTATTTTCAGAATGGTTGCTAACTGCTTACTAAACTCCAGAGTTAAGCTGCTTACTGAGGTCACTCTCTGAACTAGTTAATAGGTTTAATCTTTAATTCCTTAATACTGAAGTTAGTTCTGTCAGTGTTTTAAGTTACCTTGTAGTTACAAGGTATTATGAAACGTACCTCGATATTTGTGAAATTAAAAGAAACAAAAAGGTGACACGCTGGATATTTTCCATCCTTTTCTTGTTTTAGAACAGTGGTTGGTAATTCTTTCTTGTTTTGGAATGTTTGTTTTTAAATGAGGGGTGATTTTCTGGAGACATTTTTGGTTGTTAGAGCTGGGGGATGCCACTGGCTTAGTGGTAGAGGCCAGAGATGCTGCTGAATATCCTGCATTGCCCAGGACAGCTTCTTGACAATGAAGAATTACTTGGTCCAATATATCAGTGGTGCCAAGGTTGACAAAACCTGTTTCAAACCAGTTTTATGGTTTCATCCCACTAAAACCCATTTGGTTTCTACTAAATGCAGTAGTCCCCACTTATCCATAGGGGAGACATTCCAAGACCCAGTGGATGCCTGCAATTGAGGATAGTACTGAACCCTACATGTCCTATATTTTTAATCTGATAACCAAGTCAGCTACTAAGTGACTAGTGGGTGGGTAGCATATACAGTGTGGATATGCTGGCTGAAGGGATGTTTCATGTCCTGGGTAGGATGGTGAGAGATTTCATCATGGTACTCAACAGCATGCAATTTAAAACTTTTCAATTATTTATTTCTGGAATTTTCCACTTAATATTTTCAGACTGGGGTAACTGCAATGGTGGATAAGGAGACTGCTGTAGTAAGAGTGGTGATGCCATCTAGTGGCCAATATTTGCTCCTAGGTGAGAAGGCATTTTATTTTGGTGGTTCCGACTAAGGTAGAAATTTGCCTCTTCCTGGGAGGTCTTGCACATCCTTTTACTATCCAATGCTATGAGTGACTACATTTTGATTTTATTATGTTTCAGGTGATGACAACCTATGCAACACTCCCCATTTACCTCCCTGTTCTCCACCAAAGCAAGGCAAGAAAGAGAATGGTCCCGCTCGCTTACATACACTTAAGGGACGAAGATTGGTATTTGACAATCAGCTGACAATTAAGTCTCCTAGCAAAAGAGAACAAGCCAAAGTTCACCAAAATAAAACACTTTCTTCAGTTAGAAAAAGTAAAGAGATCACAACAAATCCTGAGCAGAGATGTCCACTGGAGAAAGAATCTGCATGTGTGAGATTATTCAAGCAAGAAGGTTTGTTCTTAACATGGCAACTGCTAGTGCAGCTATTGTAACCAAGGCTGATGATTCCAAATGAAACCACCCAGTGGGTCTTCTCAGTCACCTTCTGTTGTGTCTAATTGACCTTGTATATCTGGTACAGGCACTTGCTACCAGCAAGCAAAGCTGGTCCTGAACACAGCTGTCCCGGATCGGCTGCCTGCCAGGGAAAGGGAGATGGATGTCATCAAGAATTTCCTGAGGGAGCACATCTGTGAAAAAAAAGCTGGAAGCCTTTACCTTTCCGGTGCTCCTGGAACTGGAAAAACTGCCTGCTTAAGCCGAATTTTGCAAGACCTCAAGGTACATTAAGAGTCTGAATTGTGATGCTGTTGGTAAAATGACTCTGAGGTGTTTTGTTTTGTTTTTGAAACAGGGTCTCACTCTTTTGTCCAGGCTGTAGTGCAATGGCTTGATCACGGCTCACTGCAGCCTTTACCTCCTGGGCTCAGGTGATCCTCCCACCTCAGCCTCCGGGGTAGCTGGGACTACAGGCATGCATCACCACACCCAGCTAAAATCTGTAGAGACAGGGTTTCACCATGCTGCCCAGACTTGTCCTGAACTCCTGAGCTCAAGCAATCTACCTGCTTCAGCCTCCCAAAGTGCTGGGATTACAGGTGTGAGCCACTGTGCCCAGCTGGCACTTGATTTTTAAGAGTTAAGAAAGTGGGCTGGGCACTGTGGCTCTCACACCTGTAATCCCAGCACTTTGGGGGGTGGGGGGATTACGTGAGGTCAGGAGTTTGAGACAAGCCTGGCCAACATGGCGAAACCCCCTCTCTGCCAAAAATACAAAAATTAGCTGGGTATGTGGTGCATCCCTGTAACCCTAGCACTTGGGAAGCTGAGGCAGGAGAATTGCTTGAACCCGGAGGCAGAGGTTACAGCGAGCTGAGATTGTGCTGCTGCACTCCAGCCTGGGCGACAGAGCGAGACTCTATCTTAAAAAAAAAGACGAAGATTAGAAGATTGACGGTCTCTTCAAATAAGACATTTATAATTTCATTGTTTAAATCTTTCCAAATGAAAGTAGAGCTTCCTTACATGCTGTTAGCTCTTCAAAGACGTTTTAGGCTCTATCAGATCTTTTATTTTCTGAGGCCAAAATAACTCTGATGTTGGCATTTTTTATTTCTAGAAGGAACTGAAAGGCTTTAAAACTATCATGCTGAATTGCATGTCCTTGAGGAGTGCCCAGGCCGTATTCCCAGCTATTGCTCAGGAGATTTGTCAGGAAGAGGTATCCAGGCCAGCTGGGAAGGACATGATGAGGAAATTGGAAAAACATATGACTGCAGAGAAGGGCCCCATGATGTAAGTATTGTTCTGCTTCATGTTGCTCTGTGAAAATCTGCAAGGTCTGTTGCCCATAAAAAGAACATTTTGTATATTTGCTCTATGAAGGATAGTTACATAAACTTAAAGGGAAAGAAGAGAAGGAAGATACACCTAATTTTAAATTGGATTACTTGTAGATGATGTGGGGTATCCTTGTAGCAGTAACTAGAGATAGGATAGATTATGATCCTTAAACTGGACTCAGCTTTAGGAAGGTGACCTGAAGTCAGCCTGTATCAGACAGATTGGAGGGTTAAGAAGGTGAATATGGATACTAACTGTTTCTCTCTATATGTAGTGTGTTGGTATTGGACGAGATGGATCAACTGGACAGCAAAGGCCAGGATGTACTGTACACACTGTTTGAATGGCCATGGCTAAGCAATTCTCACTTGGTGCTGATTGGTTAGTGCTCAATCGTTAAAAATGTTACATAGTGGTTCTAAAGTATTCTTTTTTAAAATATATATATATATATTCAGCTTATTTATCAGTGATTTTATCTTAAACCAGCTTGGTGCCTCGTCAAAATAAGAAAGTTAAATGACTGTACATCTTACCTAGCAGATAATCTTATCTATTGGGATGGGGTAGGACACAAGTGGGAAGCAACAATTAGAATGTTAGATTCTATAACTGGAAATTTATTTAGCTTTCGGAGAATTTAGTTTCCCCTTTAGGATGATTTGACCAACAGTTAGTGTTGTTGATCTCCTCCTTAGGCATTGCTAATACCCTGGATCTCACAGATAGAATTCTGCCTAGGCTTCAAGCTAGAGAAAAATGTAAGCCACAGCTGTTGAACTTCCCACCTTATACCAAAAATCAAATAGTCACTATTTTGCAAGATCGACTTAATCAGGTAAGTGCCAAATGTTTTGCCAGATTATGTGTTCCTTGGATTCATCTGTGCTAGGAAAATTTAACAATAGTTCTAAAATATTTTTGCCTTGATTGCTTTATTAATGGAGCAAGGAGTTCCTATGGACCATAGTGATAACACTTTTATGTGAATTTCCACTCCATTCATTTACTGGGTGTCTCAGTGTTGAAATAAAAGCAAGAGTTAGAGGAATCACTCAAGTGCTTTCTTTCTTTCTTTCTTTCTTTTTTTTTTTTTTGTTTCCCCCCTTGAGACAGAGTTTTGCTCTTGTTACCCAGGCTGGAGTGCAATGGCGTGATCTTGGCTCGCTGAAACCTCCGCCTCCTGGATTCAAGTGATTCTCCTGCCTCAGCCTCCCAAGTAGCTGGGATTACAGGTGCCTGCCACCATGCCCAGCTAATTTTTGTATTTTTAGTAGAGATGGGGTTTCACCATGTTGGCCAGGCTGGTCTCGAACTCCTGACCTCAGGTGATCTGCCCACCTTGGCTTCCCAAAGTGCTGGGATTATAGGTGTGAGGCACCGCGCTGGGCCTCAAGTGCTTTATTTTTTATTTTATTTATTTATTTTTAATAGAGACGGGGTTTTGCCATGTTGGTCAGGCTGGTCTCGAAATCCTGACCTCAGGTGATCTACCCGCCTTAGCCTCCCAAAGTGCTGGGATTACAGGCGTGAGCCACCATGCCTGGTCTTCAAGTGCTTTCTTTAATGACCTTTAAAAAATAGTGCCTATGAAAAAACTTTTTCTTTTGAAAGTGACTAAATAGATTTTTTTTTTTTTTTTGCTAATTTCAGCTCTGATTGCTTCTTTTCCATTTATGAACCTCTACCATATCCCTACAAAATGCTTAAATATGTGAAAACTCTCAAACATCTCCATTATTTATGAAGAAAAGGTATCTTTTTGACCCTAAAGAGTTGCCAATCAGGCCGGGCGCGGTGGCTCAAGCCTGTAATCCCAGCACTTTGGGAGGCCGAGGCGGGTGGATCACGAGGTCAAGAGATCGAGACCACCCTGGTCAACATGGTGAAACCCCGTCTCTACTAAAAATACAAAAAATTAGCTGGGCATGGTGGCGCGTGCCTGTAATCCCAGCTACTCAGGAGGCTGAGGCAGGAGAATTGCCTGTACCCGGGAGGCGGAGGTTGCGGTGAGCCGAGATCGCGCCATTGCACTCCAGCCTGGGTAACAAGAGCGAAACTCCGTCTCAAAAAAAAAAAAAAAAAAAAAAAAAAAGAGCTGCCAATCAAGTTTAGGGTTAAATGTGAAAATATTTATGCTTGGGACCTAAATTACAGAGGGAGAATCTTATAGTTCAAACTGTCATCTTCTATGTCTTGTCTGAAGGTATCTAGAGATCAGGTTCTGGACAATGCTGCAATTCAATTCTGTGCCCGCAAAGTCTCTGCTGTTTCAGGAGATGTTCGAAAAGCGCTAGATGTTTGCAGGTGAGTTATGACACTTGGCTGCTTTTATTTAAAAAAAAAAAAAGAAATGCTGTTAATTGTCTCGTGTAACTCAAGTGAATGTGGCTTAAGAGGCTCAGTTCTGCTACTTTTTTACGCTCAGAAAGGAGGACTTGTTTCTCAGTGGGGAGCTGTGGATTTCCACCGTGTTAATGTCTAAAACATTATCAGTCCATTACCTACAGAGGGAGAAACAAATGAGATGTTGCTGGCACTCCCTGTGGTGATTATAGATTGGTTAATTACATTTGTATTAAAAAAGACTCCAGTTTACTTTTCCATTAGCTGATCTCAAGCAGGTTTATTTATGGACCTGAACCATCTTTGCCTTTAGACTTTTTCCCTCTTTCTTTCCTTTTGTCAGCACCCCTTCTTCCCTCCAGTTGGTGGTCTCCTAGAGTTGTACTCTAGACCTCTTTCTCCCTTCCCATCCCCCTGGCCCTCCTGCTGGGGAAAGCCTCTGTGCTGACTGATGAAATTTCTTCCTTCCCAGTAGGGACACTGGGTCCATTAAAATGATACTTGCTGTGCTGGCCTGCTGGTCCAACCTCCCCCTATTGCCATGCAGAAGATCCAGGTCTGGCTTATGGCTTCCTGTGGGCAAAGTACTTTGGAGAGAGCAGTGGGAGAGTCAGCTCTTCCTGTTGCTAGATTGCATGATCCTGAATTTAAAAGTTTCCTCTAATCAGCAAACTACTTGGGTTAAGACTGCAACTATGAGCAATAGTCATGTAGGCTAGCGCGGTTTAGCCTACACATATCCTATGTATATATAACGGAAGATATCCCTTTTAGGTTTTGTGTGTATGGGTGGTGTTGGCTTCCTTTAGTCAGTCACCCACACTACATATCCTCTCCTACCATGACATTTCTCCTCACCCAAAATGTTATCATTGGCTTAATGTATGATGACCTACTTGGCATCTATTAGGAGGAAACCGTGGAAGTTTCTCAAATCTGACATCCATGAATTATTTCAAAGCAATTAAGTCCCCTTATCTGATAAATAAATCTGTAATTTTAAAGTCCCAGTTTTATTTTGGGACTTTAAAATTACAAAACATCGTAATTTTAAAGTTATACATAGGTTATATGTAGGCTAAACCATTTAGCCTACATGACTGTTGCTCATAGTTGCAGTCTTTGAGCAATAGTCATTAATGTGCCTGCTTTTGAGCTTGGTGGTTTGGTATGGTGTTTGCTTTGGCTTAGACTAAATTAATTCAAAAAAATTTTTTTTTATAGGAGAGCTGTTGAAATTGTAGAGTCAGATGTCAAAAGCCAGACTATTCTCAAACCACTGTCTGAATGTAAGTAGTTTATCTTCTTCCTATCTTCCTTTGTAATTAGAAGCTTAGCTTTTCTGAGGAAAGAAGTAGAAAGATGAATGAACATAGTTAAATCCAAACTCACCCATTTTTATGTGTGTCTTTTTTAGTCAGTTTCATCTACTTTATTTCACTCTTGCCTGCCAGTACTATAGTTCATGCATTACTGGAAATGAGTTCCCGAGGTGTTGTGTAAATGGCTAGGACAGAGTGAGTTTTCTTTTTAAGCTCTAGAAATGAAAATTGTAGACAATGAGGTTGGATCAGCTCTCTGGGTGCTTATGTTGAGTGCACTTTAGGTCTCAATATAGGTGAAAGCAAAGCCTGATAAATAATGGAGAATTGGGTAAAAGAACTGCGAGGCCCCATGCAGTGGTTCACACCTGTAATACCAGGACTTTGGGAGGCCAAGGCGGGAGGATCGCTTGAGACCAGCCTGGGCAATGTAGTGAGGACTCGTTTCTACAAAAAAAAATTTTTTTTAAATTTTGAAGCCATAAAAAATGAGTTGGCTGGGTGCGGTGGCTCATGCCTGTAATCCTAGCACTTGAAGGCTGAGGAGGGCGGATCAGTTTAGACCATCCTGACCAACGTAGATAAACCCCATCTCTAAAAATACAAAAATTACCTGGGCATGGTGTCCCGCACCTGTAATCTCAGCTGCTCAGGAGGCTGAGGTAGGAGAATTGCTTGAACCTGGGAGGCAGAGGTTGCAGTGAGCTGAGATCATGCCACTGCACTCCATTCTGGGTGACAGAGCGAGACTCTGTCTCAAAGGAAAAAAAAAATGAGTTCGTGTCCTTTGTAGGGACATGAACGAAGCTGGAAACAATCATTCTCAGCAAACTAACACAAGAACAAAACCAAACACTGCATGTTCTCACTCGTAAGTGGGTGTTGAACAATGAGAACACATGGACACAGGGAGGGAGACATCACACACTGGGGCCTGCTGGGGGTGGGGCCCAAAGGAAGGGAGAACATGCAGGACTTAAAAACCTAGATGATGGGTTGATTAGTGCAGCAAGCCATCATGGCACATGTATACCTGTTTTACAAACCTGCATGTTCTGTACATGTATCCCAGGGTTTAAAGTAAAAAAAATTAATTAGCCAAGCATGGTGTGCACCTGTAGTCATAGCTACTTGGGAGGCTGAGACAGGAGAATCGCTTGAGCTGGGGAGGCGGAGTTTGCAGTGAGCTGAGATCGTACCACTGCACTCCCAGCCTGGGCAACAGAGTGAGACTCTGTCTCAAAAAATAATAATAAGAAGAAGAATTATAAGTTCAACTTGGGATATCTCAAGCATTTATTTATTTATCTTTCTCAAGCATTTAAACAAGTCTAGAGGGTAGAGGTAAAAATATCATATTGCTACAGTAAGCTACACACTATCACAAATGACAAAATTAATTTTCCATTCCCTCAGCCTTGTTTTGGTTGTGGCAAATGTAAATGGCCATGAACTACATATCTTACAGTATTTGATATCCAGTGGTAGTCTTTATAAACAGAATAGTAAAATTTGATTGTTTCTTTTTGACTCCTGCACTGGTTAGGAGTTAGTAAAATTGTTTCTGGCATTATAGTTTTGCATGAAGTTCTTTTTTTCATCAATTTGCTAAAATAAGAAAACTAAAAATAATTTCAGAAGTAGCCAAGATTAGTGCTTAGGCTAATAGTAGGCAATATGTATAGACTTAGATACTGGTTTCTTCCTCCTCTTCAATTTTTCAGATTATTCCCTTTTCCCCTCCTTTTTCCCCACCAGTAACATTTAGGCTTGTCACTGGCCCCTGTGAGCACCACTAGCACGAATATAACTAAAAAAAGTAAAGAGGTTGTAAGTCCTATCTTTTGATTTCTGGATTGTGTGGGATTGGCTTTTTTTTTTTTTTTTCTTTTTTCTTTTTGTGTGAGACAAGGTCTTGCTCTGTCTCTCACGCTGGAGTCCAGTGATGCGATTATGGCTGGTGCAATCATGGCTAACTGCAGTTGCAACCTCCCGGGCCCAAGCAATCCTCTTCTCGCCTCAGCCTCCCCAGTTCCAGCTATTGCTAATTTTAAAATTTTTGTAGAGTCATCGGGTGAGGGACTCTCATGTTGCCCAGGTTGGTCTCAAACTCCTGGGATGAAGTGATTCTCCCGCCTTGGTCTCCTACAGCATTGGAATTACAGGCCTGAGCCACCACACACCAAGGTTGAGATTGGCTTTTAATGGTTCCAGAAAGCTATAGGGAGATTGACTTCAACTAAATATAAGAAGAAAATTTCTAATAACTAGAACTAACTGGGCTTCCTGGAAACATAGTGGGTTCTCGAGCATTGAAGATATTCAGACAAAAGTTGGATAGATGCCACTTGTTGAGATTGTTTTAGAGAGGACTCAGCCATTGGGTAGGGAGTAAAAATAGACTTCGAAATTCCTTTGAGCTTTAAGATTCTCTTACTTGATCTGTGATCTCTGGTTTCTCCATTAGTCCTCTGCAGCATCCCTCTGTGGTAATGAAATATTATAGAAGGAAATTGTTATGGGGCAACTGCAAGTGATTCAGGTGGTAACTGCAGGCAAAAGTTGTTACAGAGCACCTCTCTCTGTCTTGCAATTCATGCATCTCCAAACAATGAGACCATAGTTTTTTTTTTTTTGAGACAGGGTCTCACTCTGTCACCCAGGCTAGAGTGCAGTGGTGTGGTCTCAGCTCAATGAAACCTCCTCCTCCCAGGCTCAAGCCATCCTCCCACCCCAGCCTCCTGAGTAGCTGGGACCACAGGCGCATATCACTATGCCCTGCAATTTTTTTGTATTTTTAGTAGAGATGGGGTTTCACCTTGTTGCCCAAGCTGGTCATCAATCCCTGAGCTCAAGCCATTCGTTATTTTTCCTGATCCTCTCCCTCCTCCCACCCTCCACTCTCGTATAGGCCCCAGCGTGTGTTATCCCTTCTAGGTGTCCTTGTGTTCTCATCATTTAGTTGCCACTTAGAAGTGAGAACATGCGGTATTTGGTTTTCTGTTCCTACAGTAGTTTGCTAAGGATATAGTCTTATGCAGCTTATTGGCAGTTTCTCAACCCCTGGCTTTTATTAAGATGATGATATCTGGCTAGGCATGGTGGCTCACTCCCATAATCCCAGCGCTTTGAGAGGCCAAGGAGGGCAGATTGCTTGAGCTTAGGAGTTCAAGACCAGCCTTGGCAACATGATGAAACCCCATCTCTACAAAAATTACCAAAAAAAAGATGGTGCTATCTACAGCATACCCAGTGACATTTTCTCAAGTATTGGCTGTATTGCTGATCAGCTTGGGCAAGTGAACCAAACCTCAAAGGTCATTTGGGGAGGCCATCTGAAGGACAGATATGGCAGTGACTTTACTCTCCACATTTAGCCACACATTTGATCGAAAATATTAGGTAATTTTCCAACTTTTTTTTCCTTTTTTGTTTTTTTCTTTTTTTTTTTTTTTTTTTTTTTTTGAGACAGAGCTTTGCTCTTGTCGCCCAGGCTGGAGTGCAGTGGCATGATCTCTGCTCACTGCAACCTCTGCTTCCCAGGTTCAAGTGATTCTCCTGTCTCAGCCTCCTGAATAGCTGGGATTACAGGTCCCTGCCACCACACCCGGCTAATTTTTTGTATTTTTAGTAGAGACGGGGTTTCATCATGTTAGGCAGGCTGATCTTGAACTCCTGACCTCAGGTGATGTGCCCACTTGGCCTCCCAAAGTGCTGGGATTACAGGCGTGAGCCACCATGCCTGGCCTTTTTTTCCTTTCTTAATTACTAGGCACAGTCACCATCTTTGCTTCAAGGTTCTGTTCTTCTTATACCTCTCAGATACTGGGAACTAGCCTGCTGTGGTGGCATGCACCCGTAGTTCTAGCTACTCAGGAGGCTGAGACAGGAGGATCACTTGAGCCCAGGAAGTCAAGGCAGCAGTGAGCCATGCTAGTGCCACTGCACTGCAGCCTGAGCAACAGAGATCTTATTCCCCACGCCCCTAAAAAAAGGAATACAGTCGTTCTCTGTCTGGTCCTTTCATGAGGTAGGTTTTGTCCCTCTGATGTTAAATTACATTCCATAGAACAAAATAGCTCACCATTTGGCCCAGAGAAAGGGTAACCCTAATTTTCAAGTCATCTACATTATTTTGACATCTTTAAGAGAATAGCATTATCTCTCATCCTTTGGCCTCTGGTTAGAGAGTTGGAACCTCTGCTTTGCCACCACGTGACTGTACTTGAAATTCCTTTAGCTCAAACTTAGTATCATTTGTTTCATCATGCATACACACACACACACACAATATTTTAGAAATTGAATTAAGCTTGACTTACTTACTTTATAGGTAGATCACCTTCTGAGCCTTTGATTCCCAAGAGGGTTGGTCTTATTCATATATCCCAAGTCATTTCAGAAGTTGATGGTAACAGGATGACCTTGAGCCAAGAAGGAGCACACGATTCCTTCCCTCTTCAGCAGAAGATATTGGTCTGCTCTTTGATGCTCTTGATCAGGCAGTTGAAAATCAAAGAGGTCACTCTGGGGAAGGTAAGTTGGGATGGAGCAGATGGAGCAGAGGTAGAGATGAGAATCTGCTTTGCAGAGCAGGTATTTTCCAAAAGGCCTATGATACTTCAGCTGATAGGAATTTAAAATGGATTTTAACAGTAAGAATTAATACTGGTAATGGCCAGGTACGGTGATTCATGCCTATAATCCTAGCACTTTGGGAGGCCGAGGAGGGTGGATTACCTGAGCTCAGGAGTTCAAGACCAGCTTGGGGAACACGGTGAAACCCCTGTCTCTAGTAAAAATACAAAAAATTAGCCGGGCGTGGTGGTGTGCGCCTGTAACCCCGGCTACTAGGGAAGCTGATACAGGAAAATTGCTTGAACCCAGGAGATGGAAGTTGCAGTGAGCTGAGATCGCGCCATTGCAATCCAGCCTGGGCAACAGAGCAAGACTCCGTCTAAAAAAAAAAAAATTACTACTGGGGCTATATAAAAGGCACCTATTTTCCTTGGGTTGTGGTTGAGAGTTTACCATTAATCTTACCCCATGCTCCCCTTCATTTCTGCATCTCTCTATGAAATATATAAAGCCCCTTTCCTACATTACTGTATAGTCTTTTGGGAATATCTACAGAATGACTGTTTAAGGATTTTATTGAAAAGAGGAGAAATAGGGTATTCAGATAAGTTTTTTGCTAACTCAGACTCACGTTTCTTAAATGATTAAAGGCTATAAGCAATGTGACTTTTAAGCAGCATTTGTTCTCCCTTGTTTCCTCCCAGTTATATGAAGCCTATAGTAAAGTCTGTCGCAAACAGCAGGTGGCGGCTGTGGACCAGTCAGAGTGTTTGTCACTTTCAGGGCTTTTGGAGGCCAGGGGCATTTTAGGATTAAAGAAAAACAAGGAAACCCGCTTGACAAAGGTACAACTGCTTTTTTGTGACAGTGTTTTTAATTGTCCTATTTTGTAGAGTGATGCTAAAGTCAAGGTTTACTGTTACACAAGATGACCACAGTTAAACAAGTCAACAAGTCAGAGTTAAACCTTGTTAGCTAAGGTTTAAGGTGTGTAAAGATGGGAGTGTAGTATGAATATTTTTTCAGCCTATTGGAAAAAAAGTGTTTAACTTTCTTGCCTCTTGTGAGAAAAGTTTAATATGGTAGAAGTTTCTGTACTGATAACTTTGCTTTTGTGAGTTCTCCAGGATGAAAAATCCTTTTCTCTTTTTTCCAGGTGTCTTTCAAGATTGAAGAGAAGGAAATAGAGCATGCTCTGAAAGATAAAGCTTTAATTGGAAATATCTTAGCTACTGGATTGCCTTAAATTCTTCTCTTACACCCCACCCGAAAGTATTTATCTGGCATTTAGAGAGCTACAGTCTTCATTTTAGTGCTTTACACATTCAGGTCTGAAAACAAATATGACCTTTTTTACTTGAAACCAATGGATTTTAATCTATAGATTCTTTAATATTAGCACAGAATAATATCTTTAGGTCTTATTATTTTTACCTATACAAGTGATCAGGTAGATCCTTTTTAATTACATTCACTACTTCTACCACTGTGTATCTCTAGCCACTGTGCTTACAAGTGTACAGATCTGAAATGTGTCTATATTTACCTCTTTGTTTGCTCAAATATGACTGTGTTTTTGTTTTTGTTTTTTTGAGACTGAGTCTCGCCCTGTTGCCCAGGCTGGAGCGCAGTGGTGCGATCTTGGCTCACTTCAGCGTTCACTTCCTGAGATCAAGCGATTCTCTTGCCTCAGCCTCCTGAGTAGCTGGCATTACAGGTGGGCACCACCACACCCGACTAATTTTTGTATTTTTAGTAGAGATGGGGTTTTACCATGTTGGCCAGGCTGGTCTTAAACCCCTGACCCTCAAGTGATCTGTCTACCTCGGCCTCCCAGAATGCTAGGATTACAGGTGTGAACCACCACCCCCAGCCATGAGTGTATTTTGTTCAGAACTTTGAGGTTAGGGTAAGAAGAATGTAAAAGAATGATCCAGGAAAATTAAGCAAGTCCACGTGGAGATTTGGAGGACACTGGTTAAAGAATTTATTTATTTTTAGAGTATACTATGTTCACAGCGCAGATACTACAACATTGTGACATTTTAAAGGCTCTTTGAGTTTCTTGGGCACCTCCAAGGGCGCTGGGGTTGTAAGGAGACTGTAACTACAGATTGTGAATATATTTATTTTCAAATTGTATTCTTTGTCTTTTTAAGCAATTAGATTTCAAGAGCGCTCATGCTTTCAGAAGTAAATGAAAATTTCTTCCTAGACTGTCCCACAGTCTTTGCGGTCCTTAGATGAAACCACTTGTTTCAAGATGCTTTAGTTTGGGGTTGGGTTTTCATCTAAACACATTTTTTTCCAGTCTTAGATAAATTAGTCCATATGGTTGGTTAATCAAGAGTCTTCTGGGTTTGGTTTGGTGCCATTAAATGGCAATTTGTGACTGAGACACCAGAGGGCACCATTATAACATTGACTGCTTTGAAAGTGGTTGCTTGGGGCTGAGGTAGTTTTGGGGGAAAGGGGGAAGTTCTCATTTAATTTGTTTGGGAGATTGCTGTACTTTTATAACTTAAGCAAATGCCTGAAATGTAAACCATGTATGATATGAATGAGCTGAGAGCCAGTGACCCTGAGCTCTCATGCTGCTGCCTCTACCTTTCTGACATGGCCTTCCATCTGGGAATTTGATACATGTACAAATGATCTGTTGGCCACTGTTTCATTCATCCTGCCCACTGTATCCTTGTAATGTGATCTGAGCTCCAACAGGTGGTATGGTATAGAGGCAGGGAAAGCAGAGAGAGCTCTCTGAAATGAACACTACCCACTGGTGTGTGTAGCACAAGATAGTCTGTAGGCATGAGTCTGAATGTGGTTCTCACCCTCACACTTGTTTACTAGAACATTCATTCCCTCTGAAGGTAGTTTGCACATGGGAAACACAGTTCTATACCTAGAAGGTTGGAAAGTGTCTGGGACTATAAGGGTTAACAGTCATAATTGCAAAGATTGTCCGAAGGCTGATGGAAAGCAGAGACTGAATGGGATTGAGAACAGATGCGAAGCTTGATTTAAATTACATTTTATTGGATGCTGCAGCCTTAAGAGACGTGACTGCTTTACAGTTTGTTTCCACACTGTGGGCAGCTGCTGTCTGTTCTGTGTCCACAGTAGGCTCTTGCCCAATAAGGAGCAGCCTCCCCACCTCGTTGTGTTTGAGGCTTGGCGCCTTCCTCTTAACTGTAGGGCTTGAGTCAGGAACATGGCTTGACTCGCAGTGGGGCTGCTATGTATCCTCCCTGGCTTCCAGCCAAAATTGCATTGGTAGGTTCAAAGGGGCCAAATTTCTTTCCCCTCTACCTCCTTTCTCTCCCTTTCTCCTGGTATTTGGAAATAGGGTTTTCTGTCTACTGATTTGTTAGTTTCCTTTTCTTTATTTCTCTCCCCACTGTCAATTTCTAGGTCATTGCTGCTCTTAAGACTTTAGCAATTGGAACAGGGTTGGTTCTGTCAATGATGCGTGAAGCAGACTTCGTGTCCCTGCTTGGCTTCCGCTGCCCTGTTGGGAGCAAAAGCTGATATATGTTTGTCAGTAAAGTCTTAAGTGTAATTCAGACCTCTGAGGAAGAAAGCTCTTTTCTTGCTGGCTTTTCTCACTGAAGCTGAGAGCTACAGGAAGGTTTTAGTGGGATGGGATGGGCTTGTGGTTAGCACTTTTTGCCAGGATCTTAGGCTGCTTCACTTAGAGTAGTGGCAAAGATGCTGACCTACATTCTTCCTTTTGACGGTGGTGGAGTGTGTGCTATATCCTGGTTAATCTCTTCCCCCACCCCAAGGAAGCTGATTAAGCGTCCATAGAGTGTTGGGTATTGCCATGGAAAGAGCATAGACAAAATAAATTGGTGTGTGTTTCAACCCGAGCTGCCAGACATTTCTGGCTCAATGAAGACTTGCCTGTGGCTAGCTAACTGCAAGAATGTGTGAGGTCCAGTCTGGGTGTGGTGGCTCACGCCTGTAATCCCAGCACTTTGGGAGACGGAGGCAGGCGGATCACCTGAGGTCAGGAGTTTGAGACCAGCCTAGCCAACATGGCAAAACCTTGTCTCTACTAAAATAAATTAGCCAGGCATGGTAGCATGCACCTGTAATCCTGGCTACTGGGAGGCTGAGGCAGGAGAATCACTTGAACCTTGGAGGCGGAGGTTGCTGTGAGCTGAGATTGCACCATTGCACTACAGCCTGAGCGACAGAGAAGACTCTCGTCTCAAAAAAAAAATATATGCCCAGTGCCCTGGCTTATACCTGTGATCCCACCACTTTGGGGGGCCAAGGCGGGCGGATCACTTGAGGGCTGGGAGTTCAAGACCAGCCTGGCCAACATGGCGAAACACCATCTCTACTAAAAGTAGAAAAACTCTCTGGGTGCCATAGTACACGCCATAATCACAGCTACTCTGGAGGCTGGGGCAGGAGAATTGCTTGAGTCTGGGAGGTGGAGGTTGTAGTGAGATGAGATCATGGCACTGTACTCCAGCCTGGGTGACAGAATGAGACTGTCTCAAAACAGCAAAATGTGTGAGGTCCAAGCTACTCAGAGATTAAAAAGTTGGCAGAGCCTTGTTCTTTCTGTGCCCCCCACTACCACCAAGTCACATTGCTCCTTACCTTTAAGTGTCCCTTTGAATATACACCAAGCTAGGTGTGGTGGCTCATGCCTGTAATGCCAACACTTTGGGAGGAGGTGACAGCAGGAGGATTATTTCAAGTCAGGAGTTTGAGACCAGCTTGGGCAACATAGTGAGAACCTTTCACCTGGCTTCTCTACCAAAAAAATCTTAAAAGTTAGTTGGGCATAGTGGTATGTACCTGTAGTCCCAGCTACTCAGGAAGCTGCTGTGGGAGGATGCTTTGAGCCCAGGAGTTCAACTCAGCATGGGCTGTAATCATACCACTGCATTACAGCCTGGGTGACAGTGAGACCCTGTCTCTAAGAAGAAAAAGCAGACACACCAATAAGAATGAGAAGTTGGGAATAATATGTGACGTAGGTTATATTTTTTAAAAAATATCTTGAGAGGTGTTACCTTGACTGCTGAGGGAGAACAAAAGAGAGCCAATATTGAAATTTTATTAACATTTGTATCTGTCCCTAGCACTTAGTATAGTGCCTAATCCCTGGTACGTACTCAACAGTTGTTGAACAGATAATGAACCCAGTAAGATGCTGCTGTTCCCTCTATGGTAAGGACAGTTCTAAGCTGAAGTTAAAAGTTGGTGGTTCTTTTGCACAGAGGTGGAGCAGGCCCCTGCATAAGAAGGGTGCTGTGTCTTACAAAATGTGTCTTGGCACAGTTTTGGAGCATTTGTTAGCCTCACAGATGCATTCCAGTTGTTCCCTCTGATGTAGTGGCATTTTGCTTGAGACACCTTCCATGTTGCTGATGGGGCGCTTTGGCTATGAGGGGAGGGTCTTATTGACAGGCTGCTTGTCTGGATGTTACTTGGTGTGGGTAGATAGGCCAGAAACTGGGTCTCTAGGCAAGGGTTTAGGGAGGAGCCCACCTTTGATGTCCTACTTTTTAACTTAGGGAAAGTTGTGATCTCAGGGTCCTGAAAAGATAAGGCACCTTCTTTTAAGCTACAAACAGTGTAGGTCTTCCTCTTAAAAGAGGTGTGTTCTGTAAGGGGAGAAGGTGTGCCCTCCGGCCTCCCCTTGATTTTCAGCTCCATCCCCAAGGCACTGGCAGTGGAAGTTAATTGGGTGCAAGGGGCTTGGGTAAAGGCTGAAGACTGGCGAAAGGAGAGAGCCAGCTTCGTTTTTTAAAAAGCTCTAATTGAGTTCTGAATCAGCCTCACTCCCTTTGATCCCTCCTCTGTTTCCCACACTGCCTGAAAGAGCTAGATCAGCACTTTATAACAAGGGTGCGCCTGCTCCCTGCACCGCCCCCCTCTCCTGACGCTCTCTGCTGCCGCCATCCACTGCTTGTCTCCTTCAGTTAAGATAATGAAGATGCTGAGAGATAAAATGTGTATTTAATAAGGGTGGGGGTAGGGAGGCGGAAAGGGGCAACCAGGGCCTTCCCTAGTTTGGGGCCTCGCCAAGACTTAAGCTGAAAGCAAAGCTAGAATAAGACTTGGCCCCAGGGTGTGGGGGTTTCTGGGCCTCAATCCAGCTGACTTCACTGCCTGCTGTTTGCCCTAAATTTCCCCACCTCCACCCTCTCAACCCCACACTGCTTTCTTCTTGCTCCCAATGGGAAAAAGGACTCTTGCTTCGACTTTCTTTTCAGCTGGTAACTTGGCCTTTAGTGCGGTGCCCCCCACCCCAGTGTCAGCTGCAAGGTCGAGCTAGGGCAGCCCCCTCTAGCCTAGGCCTGTAGAAGCTGTGGGTTCACAGTGGGGAGTGAAAAAGCTGGAGTTAATGAAGACCAGCTGCTAGTCTGGATTCTGCCTACAGCTAGCTGGAGGCCAGCCTTTGGTGGTGGTTGATGGGGGGTGGGGTGACCTCCATCCATGGGCACAACGATATCCTGTGGCAGCAGCTAGGCTTGTGCTTCTCTGAGCTTAGTTTTATCCTTAGTTTGTAAGAGAGTAGTCTGTTTCCTTCTCCCTACTCCTCTTCCCAAATAACACTCAGCTCTTATTGAACTTTATAACTGTAGTGGTGGCCCAGCTGAGATCTGAGGATCTCCAAGCCCTTTTGTAAACACTCATTAACTGCCTGGGAAGAACGAAGAGCCCTGTTTAACAGCTGGGAGAGAACTGAGGCACATTAGGGTGAAAGGCTTGACCTAAACTCACCCCATGGACTCCACCCTGGGGCCTCCCATCCTTACTGCCCAGCTCCTTTTCTGAGTTCCTCCTGGAAGACAAAAAGAGGTGTGGAGGCATTGCTGGTGTCTTCTAGGGAGAGGCCATGCCCTCTCCTCTCAAGTCTGTCCCTGACTTCCTCTGGCCCTTATGACATTTTCCCTGATCTGCTGCTAGAGATATGTGCAACTCTCCTTGAAAAATGTTCTCAGTCCACAACTTCAGAATTCTTATCCGTCTTTCTCTTGCTCATCTAGCCCGCCAAACCTGAATTCTCTCTTTGAGCTACTGAGAAGATTGGCTATACTAAACTGAAACAGTGACCTTGAAGTTGATCTATTGTTTTGAGGTCCCTCTGCCCTATATTTATCCAGAATG